GGGGGGGGGGGGAAAAAGGTGGGGGGGAGGGTGGGGGAAAAGGGTGGGAGGGAGGGGGGGAAGGAAAGGAGGAAAGGGGGGGGGGAGGGTGGGAGGAAAGGAGGAAAGGGGGGGGGGGTGGAAGGAAAGGGGAAAGGGTGGGAGGGGGGGGGGGAAGGAAAGGGGGAAAGGGTGGGAGGGAGGGGGGGGGGGGTGGGGAAAAGGTGGGGGGAGGGGGGGGTGGGGGGGGGGGGGTGGGGGGGGGGGGGGGGGGGGGGGGGGGGGGGGGGGGGGAGGGGGGGAGGGGGGGGGGGGGGGGGGGGGGGGGGGGGGGTAGGGGGGGGGGGGGGGGGGGGTAGGGGGAGGGGGTGGTGGGGACTTAACATGGTGGGGGGGGGGGGGGGGGAGGGGAGCTGTCTGCTGTTCGGTGTTCAATTTCCCACCCCACACATCCTCTGAAAGCTGCAGGGACGGGGAAGCTCTGGTGTGGGCGGGAAAGGGGGAGGCAGAGCAGATCCAGGCTCTCTCTCCTTCTCCCTCCTTCTTCAATGAAGCAGCTGAAAGCCACAGGAGGAAGAGAGGCGGCTTCCAGCTGCTTCATTGAAAAGCCATACAGGAGATCGCTGCTTGTCACCGCTGCACAGAGGCATTGCAAGATTGACAGTTACATGCATGACTCCCAAAGGCAGAGGCATGATGGGACTTCCAGAGGCATGATGGACCACTAATTTGACACCCCTGACCTATAGCATAGGATAGGTGTTGGGTGAGAGAGATATCGGTGTATGAAATTCACAGAACATATAATCAAACCAAGGAGTACATAAGAACGAACCGCAAATCGCCCTGCGGGAGAGTCAATACAAAGGGGGAGAAAGTAAAAGAGAGCGAGAACAGAACTGTTTTTCAATTTAACACTGAATCCTCATGCGGCTGCACCGGGACACATGTGAAGAGGCACAAAAGAAAGAAATGTTCTTTCACGTCATGTGAATTGTATCTGGCTCAAAATGCATCAATTTGCATATGTGTGAACCGGCTTTCAAGGAGATCCTCTGAGACTAATGGTCAGAAGCAGCAGTGCCTTAGATCTTACATTGCAAATATATAGCTAGAAGGCTTTAGGCACAGGCAGGATTGTCATTCTTCAGGGTACTGTAACTTAACATTTCTAGATGTTCTGCTAACAGTTTAGGTCCAAATTTTAGTCAGATAATAAAACAGCTCTGACTTATTTTAATCTAAATTTACTTAAAAACAAAGCACTTGCCAAGCAAGTACAGAACATACTGGAGTGAGCAGCTGTCATTGTACAGCAGTACCCAGGCTCACCTCTTTTTCCTTCTGTAGAGCTTCATACTTCTCTTTAAGAGTCTGGAACTCAAACTGCCATTTCTCGGCACGTAGAGATTCTGAGGAGTGCTTCTTATGCAGTTCCTGGATCTGCAGTGTTTGAAATGAAAGCATACACAGCAGGATGAGGTAAAACAAGTGAACAGATGCAAGTAATACATTTTTAAGGGATTGTGTTCTGCAAGGGGACAACAAAATCAATTGTTCTCTATGTGCGCTGTTCACACCACAACACTAGTATCACAAGCACAATTTCTGTGCAGGAATCTGCAAATCATGTATACAACTCACTGAAGCGTGCATGAAAACTGATGTCAACTGATATGAAACTGATGTCTCTGCAAGTGAAATTTGCGCGCCAGTTCCATCGTTTTTTTCTGCACATTATGGTTTGAACGAGGCCTTAAAGTAGAGCGGTTAGTCATTTTAAACTTTCTATTTTAAATGTCCTTAACCACTTCAAGTCCGGGACACTTTCACCCCTGTCCAGGCCAATTTTCAGCTTTCAGCGCTATCACAATTTGAATGACAATTGCGCGGGTCATGCAACACTGTTCCCATATAAATTTTTTAGCATTTTGTGGAGACAGATAAAACTTTATTTTGGTGGTATTTATTCACCACTGGGATTTTTTTTTTTTTTTTTTGCTATATAAAATGAAAAAGTCCAAAAATTTAGACAAAAAGTGTCTCTTAAAATTTTGCAAATAATAATTTTTCTTCATAAATCTTGGCCAAAATGTATTCAGTTATCTTTTTAGTGAAAAAAAAAAAAAAAACCAAATTAGTTTATAACCAAAATTTATAATTTTTCCAATAGTGACACCATAGTGACATGTTGTACTACTTGTGGGGGATGATGAAGGTTTTTGTTGTTTTTTTTTTTGTACACCGATTGCTTTTACACCCATAAAGGCTGTAAAAGCAATCATTTCTCCTTCTCTCTGACTGCAATTCTTGCAGCCATTGAGAAATACTGTGAGAGCTGTGATTGGTCACAGCTTGTCACATGGTACAAGGCTGTTGTGAATAGCCTTGTACCATGTGACCTCGGTGATCCTTCACAGATTTCACCAGTAGTAAGCAATGATGTCAGGAAAGTGACATCTTGCTTACTACTAATCATGTGATCACTGATTGGCCAATTAGTGATCACATGATCAGGACCTCACACAGAGGTCTCGCACAGCGATCAGTGTTCCTCTGTGTCTGGTGGACACAGTGGGCATTTCCGATCGTGGTTGCTGCGCGCTCCCAGGGAGTGGCGCACAAGCTGTGAATGTTTATAAAACGGCAACCCGCCCCTGCACTGCTCCCGTCCGGCCGTTTTTATGTACATGGGCGGATGGGAAGTGGTTAAAAGAGAAGTTAATTCTGAATTAACCTTCCAGATCATTAGAATTATCTTTTTAGCATAGAAATACAAGATATGAGTAACAACCATTTATCATATTTGGAAAGTTGTAATTCACCAAAGATCCCCAATAAGCAGTTCTTAGGGTATAAAATACTAGGTAGGCCAAGAGCAAGCAATAGAAATAAATGAGTTCACCTCTGACCAGAAGGCTGAGACAGTTGGGCAGTTGCAAATACAGTGTATGAAAAAAGCACTCTCCCCACATCTTCAAACAGGCTGCTGTTTGGCGTAGGCCTAGTCTGGGCAGTATGGCTGGAGTGAAATAAATATAGTGGGACAACTTCAAGTGTTATCTGTTTTTTGCCTGCTGTCTCCTGAAAATGGGTTACAGAAGTGCAGAACGAAGTGCACTCCTGTGACCCACAGGAGAAGTAGGGCCAAAAGGGTCCTACTTCTCCATTAAAAACATTTCCTATTACAGTCTGTATTATACATCCCTCCAATGTGTACCTCTATGGTTTAGTCCAGCACTGAGGCATGTTTTCGAAGCACATACATGTCTGCCTGCCACAGGAAACTCAGATACCACTTGTATCTCCGGACTGCCTCTTCATGCTTTGCGGTTGACTTTTCTAAATATTCTGTGTATTTATTCTCACTGGAAGGATATCAGGGTTCAGCTGCATCTCCCTTCCTCTTTTCAATAATGCTGAAATTCATCCACATACCTGTCTGGAAAGTCCCTCCAGCTGTCCACGAGATGCATGGGCCTTGTGAAGCTCATCCTCCAGCTGGCAGGTGCGCTGCATGTAAACTGTATTCCTCTCCTCCAGGAGCTTCACCTGGCGGCGCAGGTCACCCAGATCCTCCAGTTTCTTCTTGTATGACTCTACCAAAGATTCCAACTTCCCCACCCGATCCGAGGAGTGCCTGAGAGATGACAGCAATTCTCCATACAGTCAAGCTGCCCAATCAATTTAACACAAAAGTGGGATTTTTGACTTCACAGTAAAACCAGTTTCTTACACTACATTCCAGGTCATGGTATTCATTAACCCTGGGTTATAAGCTACCACCTTCAGGTGATTGGACACTGGCAAAAATAAAAGCTGTAGAGAGATCTCCCATATAACCTTTCCCATCCCAGCTAGCCTCAGTATTGTAGCAAGCATTCGGGAGATCATAAAATAACAGGGGTGGGGAACCTGTGTTCTGTACTGTACCCCAAGAAACGGTTTTTTAGTGGCAAGTCAAAAATCTCATTTGCTCACACAGTACAGGCCACCATATTCATTACCCAGAATGTCTTAAAGCACCCCAACTGAAGGGGTGGCCAACACAATGCCAAACAGACCCATGTAACCTCAAGACAAGAAGAGCACAAAGGGCTCAGAGAATAACTAAAAGCCCTCAGTCCCAAACAGCTTTCAAAGTTAGACTAACAAGAAGGAATGACAATGTGACAAAAAAAAACCTTACCCGCTACTATGAATCAAAAAATAAATACAAAATAACAAAAGTGATATAAGTATCTGCTACAACACCAAACCCGTCTCATAAATGGGCAAGTACAAAATATAAAACTAGAATATAAATTATTAATGTGTAGCGCTGCACAGATATTATACACACCTTTTATATCAATTATGTGAATAGAACCATCAAACATGAAAGAAAAGAAAACCAAGGGAAAAAGTCCCAATGTATTTCTTCTTAAAACTATTCTTCTTCCTGTGACCACCAGGTGCTGCTAACACAGAAATGGTGAACAATTCCTCCACCAGATATCTGCAGTGTGACCTCACATCATATAATGTTTGGTCTAACTGCACTTATAGTCCCAAGATCATCTTGATAAGTGGTAACTCCAAATGGCTCAATGCAAGAAACCCTTTTAAAATCGGCAGTAATCCTCATAAACAAAAAACTTAACATAGTGTTTACCTTTTAAAAGCTTTAGTAAATCACAAAGATTTCCATATATGCACTCACATGTGACAGGTGCCAGACCGCACCAAGTATAACACGCATCCACTGAGAATCTCCAGAGACCCAAGAAAACTGTACTCATCCACGTCAGCTAATACCAGTATCAAAGATATAGGCTCCAGCCAGCCACAAGACCATGATAAAAATGAATCAGGTCCCCTTTATAAAGCCACGATTGGTGACGAAACGCGTAGGGAGGAGCTTGCGTATGACGTCACGACGCAACGGATAGTCGGCCTAGTATACAACAGGGGTATACATCGCTTCAGGTCTCTCAAGACCATGAGGCAATTTGTTTTCCACCATAGGGCTCGCAATTTACTATTTATATCATGGTCTTGTGACTGGCTGGAGCATATATCTTTGATACTAGTATTAGATGAGTACAGGTTTCTTGAGTCCATGATATAAATAGTAATTGCAGGCCCTATGGTGGAAAACAAATTGCCTCACGGTCTGGAGAGGCCTGGAGCGATTTTTACACCTATTGTATACTATGCCGATCGTCCGTTGCGTCGTGACGTCATCCGCAAGCTCCTCCCCGACGCGTTGCATCACCGATCACATGACTTTATCAAGGGGACCCAATTCATTTATATCATGGTCTTGTGACTGGCTGGAGCATATATCCTTGATACTGGTATTAGCTGACATGGATGAGTACAAGTTTATTGGGTCTGTGGAGATTCTCAGTGGATGCATGTCATACTTGGTGCGGTCTGGCACCTGTCATATGTGAGTGCATGTGTGTAAATCTTTGCGATTAATAAAGCTTTTAAAGGGTAAACACTATGTTAAGTTTTTTGTTTATGAGGATTACAGCTGATCAAAAGGGTTTCTTGGAGTGAGCCATTTGGAGTTACCACTTATCAAGCTGAGCTTTAGAATCCAATTATTGGGACCAAAAGTGCGGTTAGACCAAACATGATATGATCTGAGGTCATACTGCAGGAGGTGAGCAGATATCTGGTGGAGGAATTGTGCACCATTTCTGTGTTAGTAGCACCTGGTGGTTACAGGAAGAAGAAATACATTGGGACTTTTTCTCTTGGTTTTCTTTCATGTTTGATTGTTATATTCACATAATTGATAAAATTATTGATGTGTAGCACTGCACAGATATTATACACACCTAATAAGTGGGGTGGGGTCGGGTGGGGCAACTGGTGGAGAGTAAGTTTTGTGACCGACTAGTAGGTCTGGACTTGAAATTTTAACCCCTGCACTTATAATATAATTTTAGAAAGAAGGAATGACAGCTGAGAGTGAAAAATCGAGCAACACACCCACATCCATACAATGGAGGAAATTTCCAAAAGATGTGCAGGAGCAGGACAGAAAAAAAACGGCAGAACAAAGTTCTAGTTAAGGTAAAGAAAACCAACACTTTAGAAATAAAAATAGGTTGCCACACCAAATGGTACAGGTGTTTAGGGCCCTATGCATCCAGGAAGACCTTCTTCCCTGAACACATAGGGCCCTAAGTCCTGGTACCACTCAGTACAGCGATCAGCCCCATCTAGTAGCAGCCTGCCAAAGACTGCCAGTCTACCTGCAGCAGAGATGGATGTTGCCCCCGTCTCCCTCTCCCAAGAACACTAAAATATTAGCTGGGACGCACTGCTCCTGGATATCCCAATGTTCAAGGAGCCTTAAGGACCAGCAGCAGTAGTTTGCCCTAGGCCACTAAGCAAACAGGATACCATTGAGAAAGAATTCTTCTTCTAGGAACAGAATGTTAGAGACGAATCCCATCCTGGCTTTGCCTTCCTCAATAGGCATACCCCAAAAGGAGTCTTCAGGAATAGGGCTTTGCCTCTGGCAGACCACAGTCCTGGGACCTGAATAGCATTCTGTGCGTTGACATTCTGCCTTGTGTATGTACTCTTGTCCATGTGTAACATGCATACTTTCAATAAAACCAGTTTAAAAAAAAAAAGAATAGCATTCTGTGGCCAACTAAATATGTTGAACTTTGTGCCAATGGGAACACCTAACATAGGATCCAGTGCCAGCTTATCATCTTCATTCAGATGGTGTCCAGGTTTGGTACCCCAAGGCACAACAGAGGAGACAACCAATATGGAAGCTGCATAAGGAAGCCGCAGTACCTACAGTACAGCCAGGAATCTTGAAAGAACATTTGAAAGCCAAAACCTCCATATAAAAGAGGTGACCTGGAGAGAGGATATACATCAGCTAAGGGCACCAGCAAAAAAAATGAGACTAGCTGGCAGTGGAAGGGGTTGTATGGTGGATGTCCCTGTAACTTGCCAATGTCCAATCACTTGAAGTCGGCAGCATATAACCCATGGTCATATTCTTGTATATTCATGTGCCTTCCCCTCCCTCTGCTGTGTTAAATTACAGAACTCATGCACAGTAGGGGGAGGGGACAGGATAGAATACAAGAATTTAAATGATAAATGTGACTACTAGTAAACATTCCGTGGACAAATGCCGGCCATACATGGGTGGAAAGTCGACCGATTTTTCATCCGAAAATCGAACCGAAGAATAATCTGAATGATTTTCGCTCTGTTAGTGGGTCAATGGCATCGGCTGATTTTCGTGGTTCCTCCCCTTTTCGGTCATCAGGCATTTTGGAAAATTTGTTAAAAACGACCGATTTTCGACTCAGTGATGGTCAAATCGTACGATCGTTTTTCCGAAAAGAATATGCGCATGAGCGTCTCCAGCAGTAAAGAAAAGATTTCTGCCTCCACACTACGCACTGCCTTAAAATCACCAATGTGAATGTAGCCTAAAAAGTAAATGCGGCTGCACTTATAAAGGATCGGTTTGCGCTGGCGGCAGATTGATCACTGTAAATGAAGGAAAACTTTACTACCAGCCACAATATTTTCATTTATGCTGTGCTGACCCCTCTGCTGTGCTGAATTATGGCGCTTGCGCACCTGCTGACCGTAATGTGTAACAAACACTATTGAACAATGCTCATTAAACATTCGACTCCTTGTCAGCAGCATGATCGAACAAAGGTGGGGAGGAGTGCTGTCTGACTGAGCGGTTCGGCTTTACCACCAACTGGAATGAACAAAGTGCTATATGAGCTAAAAATGATGTTTTACTTGTTTGAAGTTTTCTGAGATACCAACATCACACATCTTTGAAGGCCTTGGGATATTCTACTGCACATGCACTGTATTCTGTATTTTTTCTGGAATTTGCAGCCAGCCCCTGATGCAAGAACGCAGAAGCAACAGCTGGCACCCAGATAATGTCAAAGAAGAAGATGGCGGCAGGGGACTGAGTGTGCAGCAGTGGAGTGTCAGATGCCTACAGTACACAGCTGGATCACAGCGCATGTATGTTTTGTGTGGATTACTTAGCGAAAAAATTTAAAAGGGGTGGAGTGGTGGAAGAGTAGTTTCTCTTCAAGAATGAGTTTTTGGGACCTCAAATCCCAATTCTCCATCCCATTTCCAGTATACTTGCTCACCTGAGCACATCCATCTCATGTCAAAGAAGATGATGGCGGCAGGGGACTGAGTGTGCAGCAGTGGAGTGTCAAATACCTACAGTACACAGCTGGATCACAGTGCATGTATGTTTTGTGTGGATTACCTAGTGAAAAAGGTAAAAAGGAGTGGGGTGGCGGAAGAGTAATTTCTCTTCTAGAATAGAGTTTTTGGGACCTCAAATCCCCATTTTCCATCCAATTTCCAGCATACTTGCTCACCTGAGCACATCCATCTCATCCCGCAGTGATTGGGCCTCGTGTGCGAGCCCTGTGAGATCCTGGTTACGCTGCTGTAGATCCTGGACCTCCCGATCCAACTCCTGACACCGCTGCCTGTAGTCATCCCGTGCACTCTCCAGCCTGAAGCAAACCCAAGACAAAGATCTCTCTTAAAAGATGATCACATTTTGAATGTCATCAACTTACAGTAAATCTAAATTAATGTCTTTTTTTTTTTTTCCCCAAGGAAAATTTGGAGAGCCAGCAAAGCAAAGCATGACTTACATGAAGATCTGTGATTTGCATATCAGTTAGGACACCTGTATCTTTGGATTTACCAATCTAGTTCCACTGTTCATTCATCATTTTTTACAGTCTGAAGTCATTCAGGTCTGTGGTACATTTAATTATAAAACAGACCTTTTATTAGATTAAAAAAATAAAATATATAATACTACATGACAGCTTACTTACCATGTCTCCTAAAACTATCCCTGTATATTCTGTCCTAAGAAACTGCCATATCTGGATATTCCAGGTACAACAGGGAGAGAACAGCTTTGTCTGCAGTCCTCCTACCTCTAAGGATTCATCTGATTCAGAGACCTGTGCTGGGGCTTCTTCCGGCTTTGTTGGGAGGAGATTATTACAGTCAGACCAGCAGATCAAGATCTCAGTGGTTGTTTTATTGTTTTCTGCATGGGACCAAGCTCGTGACACAGACACCATCATATATTCTATTTTTACCTGCACACATTTCAAAGCTGGGTAGGCAATGCAGATTATTGTTCTAATGTGGTACTTTTTATGCAACGTTTGTACCTCATCAAAGGTAGGTCTTGCGCCGAAAAGATTTATGATGTTCAAAGTCCAGTAATATCTAACAACCAATCAGAAGCAGCCTACACAAATGGGTGAAAGATTCCGCTTATTGTGCTCTGGGTCATGGCATATTCTGTTTGTTCATTATGCCTTCAATTACTTCCTACATTCCAGAAACACGCCATCTGATAAGCAGTAAACTTAGCCTGTGTGACCGCTAGGCAGAGAGAAAACACAGGGCTGTGAGATCTACATAGGCAAGGACAGATTACCATCACCATGCTCTGTAAGAAGCTGCAAGGTATATTTACAGCATAGAAATGAAAATTACTGATAGAACACCTATCAAAGAGATATTTGGGATGATTCAATAGGGCACTGACATTAGAGGTGCGGATGGAGATCTGTCTGAAGTGGTGTGACAAACCGACGAACGCCATGCAACACTCATTAGACACAAGTGTACAATCCAAACGCACACGTTCCTGCGTTAAAAATGGCTGTGTGTATAAGTGGGTGCTGCAGCGACCGTCGGCTAGAACTGAACAGAATCGGCAAGGGAGAATGTCACCAGCACACCGAGGATCACCAATATGGGTCACATGCCTGATGAAGGGGTCCTGCGAGACTCCGAATTGTTGCCTTGCTGTAACTATGTGATCATTTATTAAAACATTTGGACCCATATTGGTGATCCCCGGTGTGCTGGCGACATTCTCCCTTACTCTTTAGACACACACAACAAATTCAAACAGTTCATAGTGGCGACAATTTTGTCTGTTGGTATTGCTGCAAAACACTCAATAAGGTATACTGCTATATTGGATCTAAGAAAAGCAGGGGAGCAGCAGCAACAGGACATCTAACCACCGCTGGTGGACACCCTGGAATGTATTGTCAGTAACTTCTTTTGAAAATCTTTTTATGTACCCCACACCAACTAACCCTGAATAAAGGTACCTTAAGCAGTATCACGCTATGTGGTCTTCCATTGGGCACTCTGTGTGAGTGCTATCATTCGCAGTGCCCATCTGGAGGAACCATGACCCTGGTGGTGATACCTGGTAGCAGTTTCTGGTGATCTTGCCTCTGTGGAACCGGGAAGGTGATCTGTGGGTAACCCGATCCGAGATTTGATGACCGATCTATGGCCTGGTGACGCAGGATTATATATTGCGTATTTTAAACGCACATCTGGTGAGTGCGTTTTTCACCTATTTGTGTGGTTTGCACCTATTATCACACCTTGGATCAGGACGTCCATTCACCTGGAATTAGGATCTCTCCATGATCCGCACCATTATATTGAACTTTTTAATATTTATTGATCACCATCAGAGTGACATCACGCATGCGTATAAGTTTGCACTAGCATATTCTGTGTATTATTCGTGTATTATTATTTAGCGCTGCACCACTTTATCTGGATATACATGTATTATTGGGGGTTTTCTTTTGGTTACCTTTTCGGTGTATCATCTGCTTGTTAACTTTGTTGTGTATACATATTTATACACATTTTCACTTTTGTTTTAAGGTAGCGCTCACTAAACATCTTTTACTACATAGTGTTATTGTGTGGACTTGTTATTCTGGGGTTGTACAGTAATGAATTAGGGCACATTTCCACTAGCAGTGTGTATTACAGCTCAGCCGCTGGTGTGCTCTGTGAGGGAGTAAGGAAAAAAATGTCACCAGCACACCAAGGATCAACAATATGGGTCCAAAGGTTTCAATAAACCATCACACAGTTACAGCAAGGCAACGTTCCGGAGTCTCGCAGGACCCCCCCCCCCCCATCAGGCATGTGACCCATATTGGTGATCCTGGGAGACTCCGGAACGTTGCCTTGCTGTAACCGTGTGATGGTTTATTGAAACCTTTGGACCCGTATTGGTGATCCTCGGTGTGCTGGTGACAGTTTTTCCTTGCTGATTTTGTTCGGTTCCAGCCGACGGTCACTGCAGCACCCACTTATACACACAGCCATTTTTAAAGCAGGAACGTGTGCGTTTGGATCATACACTTGCACTCTGTGAGGGAGTGGCGCAATGTGTTGTATTGACGCATCACACCATTTACTTTTTTCTTTTTTTCTGCAACTTTATTGAAAAGTCACTTAAATAACATATACATCAGTTTGCTGCACGAAAACGTACAGAATGTACTCCACTGTTGAATTCATAGGACTCAAGGCAAATTGCTTTGATTATGTGTTGGTACTGCGTTATATAATATACCAATTTTTTTTTACCCAGAGTATTATTAATGTTACATGTTTCACATGTATCAAGAAAGACAGACAATAAAAATAAATTATATAGCTTATATAATTTGGTAACATTCCAAGTTTCTGAGGTTTCTCTCTAATCCACATTTGAAAATGCCACTTTGCAGGTGTGTTGCATGTGATAGTTTTGCTGGAATGATGCATTTTAATCTGTCCCAACTCTAACACGAACGTAGTTCAGTTTTGGGCACCAATTCACAAAAAGAACATTGGGGAACTGGAGAAAGTACGAAGAAGGGCAACCAAACTGATACAAAGCATGGAGGAGCTCATCTATGAGGAATGATTAGAGGAACGGAATTTATTCTCTCTTGAGAAGAGGAGATTAAGGGGGGATATGATCTCCATGTATAATACATAAGGGGGATATGATCTCCATGAATAATACATAAGGGGGGATATGATCTCCATGTATAATACATAAGGGGGGATATGATCTCCATGTATAATACATAAGGGGGGATATGATCTCCATGTATAATACATAAGGGGAGATATGATCTCCATGTATAATATATAAGGGGGGATATGATCTCCATGTATAATACATAAGGGGGGATATGATCACCATGTATAATACATAAGGGGGATATGATCTCCATGTATAATACATAAGGGGGGGATATGATCACCATGTATATTACATAAGGGGGGATGTGATCTCCATGTATAATACATAAGGGGGGATATGATCTCCATGTATAATACATAAGGGGGGATATGATCTCCATGTATAATACATAAGGGGGGGTATGATCTCCATGTATAGATACATCAGTGGTTCATATAGTGACCTCGGTGTAGAGCTATTCACCCTGAGGTCATCACAGAGGACAAGGGGGCGCTCTTTACGTCTGGAGGAAAAGAAATTTAATCTCCAAACATGGAAAGATTTCTTCACAGTGAGAGCTGTGAAAATGTGGAATAGACTCCCTCAAGAGTTGGTTCTGGCCAGCTTAGTAGATTGCTTCAAAAAAGTCCTGGATTCTTTCTTAGATACACAGAATATAACTGGATAATAACATTTATAGGTAAAGTTGATCCAGGGAATATCCGATTGCCTCTCGGGGGATCAGGAAGGAATTTCTTTTCCCTGCAGGAGCAAATTGGATCATGCTTTGCTGGGTTTTTTGCCTTCCTCTGGATCAACTGTGGGTGTAGGATTATAACTTTTTTTTTTTTTTTTAAAAGGTTGAACTGGATGAACTTTTGTCTTTTTTCAGCCAAACTAACATGTACGTGATTCTGTTGCACAGACATTTGTCACGCCACCAAGAGACAGACATTTACATAGTATCTACAACACTTTAGAATTCTGTGAGGTGCAGTCAAGCACTCTAATGACAGGCTCTCATCTAGAATTCAGATACCTGTAGTTTTCCTCCTGTAACTGTTCAATCTGACTCTGTAGCAGAAGCATCTTCTTGTTAAACATTTGAGGCGAATCCATTCCTTCCTCCTCCTGCTGGTCCCGAAGGGCTCTGTTTTCTGACATCAGGCTCCTCTTTTCTTCCATCAGCACTGAGACCTTACAGAGGAAAAGGAAGGGGACAAAGGAGAGGAGAGAGAGGCACCGGGACCCCATAGTGTGAGAAACAGGAATGAAGAGAAGAGCAATATTAAAGAGGACCTGTCATCCTGAAGCTACTACAACGTGGTAAAAGGAGGAAAGCTAAAAGGAAATGCTTGAGAGAAATGGGAAAGTTTAATTGCTGCCCAATTCCGGAAAGATTAGTTGCCTGGCAGTCATGATAAGCTGCTGGCTTGAGTGGATGAGCCAGAATAAGTAAGCAAATAAAGGGCTTCTGACTTTACTTTGCCTTTTCTAGTAAGTTTACTAGTTCTGAGTCAGTTACTCATACAGAAAGTACTCCAGTTAGAGGCTCAGCATAACAGCCAGGCAACTAGAAGTTTCAGAAGGAGATCAGTAATTACATTCCCTGGGTTTCTCTTGGGAAATCTATACTGAGAAATATGTAGACTGCTAACCCCTTTGCTGACCAAGAACCAGAGAACAATAAGTTACCCTCAGAACTCCTTATCCGCATATTTATTTTAAGGTAACTTAATGGTTATCAACCACTTGATAAACAGGATAACGAGGAAACTAGCATTTTTCAGAAGAGGGGTTCAGCAATGGATCCTCCATATTTTGCTCAACATAGGCATTCTCCAATGAAATGGGTCATGAGAGAAGCACAGAGGTTGACATTGCTGAGCTAAACCTCTGAAAATGGTAGTTGTCTGGCTGCCATTCTGACCCCTTCCAACACTACTTCCAGCCACTATTTTTCTTTTTTTATTATTATTATACGGGGCCAAAAGTTTACGTAGCGCTGGACGAGTATAAAAATGAGGACTCATGACTTCTCCATGCTACCCAAGCTGCATACTTGTTCCAGTACAATGACAGGCCTGGTCGGAATAACAGCCGAGCAATGGGAATCTGCCACATCCAGACTCCCATCCAGCACAGAAGACTGCTCCTAAACACATCCTAGAAGTGAGGGGTTTTTTTTTTTTTTGCAGACAAAGCACACCTCTAAGGCATCACAAACAGTGATGCAACTATGCCAGAATAAGAACTGACTAAGGAAGTATGCCAATAGTAGTCTCCAGTATTGAATGACAAGTTTCACTGTGCCAGCTCACAGCTGTCATGACAGGTTACCCATAGGGCAGCCATTCTCAAAAGAGATTTACATCCTAGGGTTCCTCATAAGGTTGCTAGGGGTTCATTCCTCCCCGCTGGCCGCCTATGCAAGGGGGTCATTCCTCCCCGCCGGCCGCCTATGCAGGGGGATCATTCCTCCCCGCCGGCCGCCTATGCAGGGGGGTCATTCCTCCCCGCCGGCCGCCTATGCAAGGGGGTCATTCCTCCCCGCCGGCCGCCTATGCAAGGGGGTCATCCCTCCCCGCCGGCCGCCTATGCAAGGGGGTCATCCCTCCCCGCCGGCCGCCTATGCAAGGGGGTCATCCCTCCCCGCCGGCCGCCTATGCAAGGGGGTCATCCCTCCCCGCCGGCCGCCTATGCAAGGGGGTCATCCCTCCCCGCCGGCCGCCTATGCAAGGGGGTCATCCCTCCCCGCCGGCCGCCTATGCAAGGGGGTCATCCCTCCCCGCCGGCCGCCTATGCAAGGGGGTCATCCCTCCCCGCCGGCCGCCTATGCAAGGGGGTCATCCCTCCCCGCCGGCCGCCTATGCAAGGGGGTCATCCCTCCCCGCCGGCCGCCTATGCAAGGGGGTCATCCCTCCCCGCCGGCCCGCCTATGCAAGGGGGTCATCCCTCCCCGCCGGCCGCCTATGCAAGGGGGTCATCCCTCCCCGCCGGCCGCCTATGCAAGGGGGTCATTCCTCCCCGCCGGCCGCCTATGCAAGGGGGTCATTCCTCCCCGCCGGCCGCCTATGCAAGGGGGTCATTCCTCCCCGCCGGCCGCCTATGCAAGGGGGTCATTCCTCCCCGCCGGCCGCCTATGCAAGGGGGTCATTCCTCCCCGCCGACCGCCTATGCAAGGGGGTCATTCCTCCCCGCCGACCGCCTATGCAAGGGGGTCATTCCTCCCCGCCGACCGCCCTATGCAAGGGGGTCATTCTTCCCCGCCGACCGCCTATGCAAGGGGGTCATTCTTCCCCGCCGACCGCCTATGCAAGGGGGTCATTCTTCCCCGCCGACCGCCTATGCAAGGGGGTCATTCTTCCCCGCCGACCGCCTATGCAAGGGGGTCATTCTTCCCCGCCGACCGCCTATGCAAGGGGGTCATTCTTCCCCGCCGACCGCCTATGCAAGGGGGTCATTCTTCCCCGCCGACCGCCTATGCAAGGGGGTCATTCTTCCCCGCCGACCGCCTATGCAAGGGGGTCATTCTTCCCAGCCGACCGCCTAGGACATCATGTCACATGCCTAGGACATCACAAGCCAACGCTGCCACTTTGGACTCTCCAGTGACCTTCCAGGCTTTCATATTAGGCGCTCCTACATCTCACCAGCGCTCCCTGCAGTCCAGCTGGCATCCTCTCTCACTGTGATTCCTGAACTTGGCTACGAGGCGTTGTGCACAATTAAACCTTATGAGCTGGCTTGTTGTTTCCTACATGCGAGTTGTTAAACGTACCGTTTTAAGCATTAAACTACATAACAGTCTACACTCAGAGGCGCTGTGTCCCTCTCCTTGAACATTTCTAAGGTTGGTTAGTGGTTCTTGGAACAGTGGCATATTGACCTCAAACCTGATAGTGCCTACATAATCCTGGGGCTAAAATCCCTTGGCAGAGCCAGTGGGATGACAATGATCTAGCATTATTATCTGAAAGGATGGCATTCTTCCCACCAATGTAAGGGCCAGTCTTCTTACTGACCACCAATATAGAAAGTGCATTCTTCTGACTGATTTTCAATGTAAGGGGCCTTTTAAGTATGTGAATATTACGGGAAATTATTTTATCATACAAAACAGGGGGTGATAAAGAAAAAAAAAAAAATAAAAAAAAAAAAAAATAATACACCTTGGTTGTCATGTACTCTATAGACATGCAACATTCTTTTAATATTTTATTTACTACTATATTTAAAAGTTAATGATCTTGCTAATGTACTGGAAATGGTGGGTATACATTTTAGCAAAAGTTCCCCCAAAAGGTCATCCTACATATTACGTATTTTAAGGGTTCTTCTGGAGTTAAAAAAAAAAAAAAAAAAGGCTAAGAAAGGCTGCTTTAGGAACAACATTGTCAGGCTTTTCAAGCCATTAAAAAGAATGCCCCAGGTCATAGTGTGCTTGTCCTAAGGATGGAAGGAAGAAACCGGCCGGCATGCATAACCTCACAAAGATGGTGTCTGGAACGTATGTTGAGGCGTGACGTCGGCATAGCGACGCGTTTCGGAACATGCGCTAACCTCTAAGGGCGGAAGCACACTCCTTTGTCAAGCTTCTCCTTCGCCGACATCCCACCTCAACGTGCGTTCCAGACATCATCTTTGTGAGGTTATACATGCCGGCCGGCTTCTTCCTCCTGTCTCCACGTTATTCCTTGGTGCAGACGGTATAGCCGGGACACAGCCGTTCAACTTCCTCGATAATATATCTTTGCACAAGCCTGTTATACTACTATTACATGTGAGTTTTCCTTTATTTGGTATTTATTAAAATTGTTTCTGCTGCACTTAGATGAGCTTCTTTTCTTTCTCATTCCACCGAGTTCTGCTACAATACTTTATGAAGCTTGCCCAAAGTGCCTCATGGACCTTCATACAGCCCTAATTTATTTGTATTTATTGGACTTTCAGAATCAGTTTAACTGGTGGTAATTTTTTTTGCGCTGATTATCTTTTCTTTGTCCTAAGGATGAGCTAGGGTTTGGCCAAACTTATGTCCCAACTGGTCCCGGAAGGAAGACGTCACTATACCCTACTCAACTGCAACCAGGGCACTCCCCGACCCACATCTGTAGGTACACAAAAGGGGGAGAAGATGCTTGTGACATCAATGACCTAATACAGCCATCCTCAATGTGGCCATAATCTATACCATCTAATTGCACAGATACTGTATACTCTCCTATTGATTTACCAAAACCATATGATAGGAGTATACGCCTAATCTAACCAATCAATCTGTATTCAGTCTGGCAGGCCACTGCACTGCATAGTTGATAGCAGATCTAAAGGAGATTGTACAATCAGATTGTATAGTGTATGGTGAGCTTAAGTCTTGACCAACCTCTTACACTTGGCTCATGTGGGACAATAGAAACCGGGAGGAAAGTAACCATGATGCAGTAGGGTATAAAAGTAGTACCATGCACAGGAGGTAGGGTTGGGACAGGTAGGTATACATGCAGCAGAGTGTAACCTTTCCAACAGAGAGCCATCATCACTCCCTTGTGCACTGCAGGTTTGGTACTGTCATATTCATAAATCTTCTAGCAATCTCCCTTACAATGGCACAGCTTTAGCTTTGATTGGTGTAATGCACTGAAATATTGAGTTTTCATGATGTCTTTAGTAACTTAGCGACTTTCAAGCTGTACTGTCAGCACCTGGTATTGATACATTTACAATAGCTGCCATTTAGCCATCATGTTTGAAGGTACATATAGTATTAGAACGAACATCAGTTTTAAGACGACATGGGTCACATGACCAGTTACGCACAAACATAGGCATACAAGCATACAGAGTTCAAGCAGGTTTCAGTGTCATGGCTGCCCCTGCGATTCAGCAGGAGTACAGTACTGGGTTAGATTAGCAGGCATTGCATAACCGTTGCAGACATGCGGAAAGTTATGGTTAGAGGTAGCAGATACAAGGCAGGTATTAAACTCACCCACATTTCCAGATGTCACACCAAACTCAGCTTAAAACCTTTTTAGGAGGGCAAAATCACTCAATGAAGAGAGAGATCTTAGAAACCCAACCCCACCACCAATGACTGCAGGTCAGTCAACACACTGGTTTATATCAGTTATATAATTTAGGGATACACAACCACCAATATTCCACAGTCTGTTTCAAGAGAACCTGTCATTTAAAAACACTTAATCATCAGTATGATGCAAATTGTAAACCTAACATACCTTATTTGAAAGGGAGAAAAAAATATCATAGGCTGTGTTGCCGTGTATATGACTTATCTCAGTGATGTCACTGGTCTCTAGTGAATGGATAGGCTGAATATGAAGGTCTCAGTGATGTCACTGGTCTCTAGTGAATGGATGGGATGAATATAAAGGTCTCGGTGATGTCACCGGTCTCTAGTGAATGGATAGGATGAATATGAAGGTCTCGGTGATGTCACTGGTCTCTAGTGAATAAATAGGATGAATATAAAGGTCTCGGTGATGTCACCGGTCTCTAGTGAATGGATAGGCTGAATATGAAGGTCTCAGTTTTGTCACTGGTCTCTAGCAGGGTTGCCAAACATCAATAAATTTACACGCAGTTTCTAAAATTTTGTGATTTTTACAACTGTCTGTAAATATCAGGGGCTGATAATTTGTCATGCTGTGTTGACTTTTGTAAGCAAGTCAAATTACTTGTTAGAGGTACTGTCATTGTTTCCATATTGTGTTTATACAGTTTAAATATTGATTCATTTAGTTTTTAACTTCATTTTTCAGGTTGTTCGTAAAAAAAAAAAAAAATGTGATCTGCCAGTAAATTTTCCATGTTTTGTCAGTATAAAATGCTGCGGAAGGTTGGCAACACTGGTAGACTGTGTTCTTATAAATATGAAGGTCTCAGTGATGTCACTGGTCTCTAGTGAATGGATAGGCTGTGTTCTCATGAATATGAAGGTCTCGGTGATGTCACTGGTCTCTAGTGAATGGATAGGCTGTGTTCTCATGAATATGAAGGTCTCGGTGATGTCACTGGTCTCTAGTGAATGGATAGGCTGTGTTCTCATGAATATGAAGGTCTCGGTGATGTCACTGGTCTCTAGTGAATGGATAGGCTGTGTTCTCATGAATATGAAGGTCTCGGTGATATCACTGGTCTCTAGTGAAGGGATAGGCTGTGTTCTCATGAATATGAAGGTCTCAGTGATGTCACCGGTCTCTAATGAATGGATAGGCTGTGTTCTCATGATTATAAGGGTCTCGGTGATATCACCGGTCTCTAATGAATGGATAGGCTGTGTTCTCATGATTATAAGGGTCTCGGTGATGTCACCGGTCTCTAGTGAATGGATAGGCTGTGTTACTCATATCTAGCATAGGACTGTTCTCATTTTGAAGCCTAAAGAACATGAATCAATTTTGATATATTTTCTAGCAATCTCTCCTATGATGACACAGCTTTAGCTTTGATTGCTCTAATGTTCTGAAATATTGAGTTCACTTCATACTTTAGTAAGTTAGCCCAAAGTGACTGCTGCCTGTGAGTTTAAAAGATCAACAGAAAATTAAAACTGTGTACTTGGTTAGGCCCTTAGGGCTATATTAGTGTATATGTGACCTTGGGACCAAATATGAAGTGCAGAAAGCATCTTTAGAGAATATTGGCATGATTGACCCCAATTATATAACAAGATATCACATAATGCATAGGCGGCACTCTTCACTTATCAGCCATGGGTCACTGCACTCTTCTGATCAAAGATAATGTATTAGTAAATCAAAAACACAATGGGAGACATTTATGAAACTAGTGCAATTGAAAATACCCAGGGAAGAACGCAAGCATTTAAATGGCTGCTGGTTTAGACACTATTGTGGCCCCTGAATCTAGTTTTTTCAATGATTGAATTTGAGCCCGAAAACTGCAGCAAAACTAATCTCTTTTTAACTAGTAGTATAGAAAGACACATATCTGTATAGACATGGTAGGATATTAATAAAGAACTTGAGTCAAATTGCTGAACAAAAAATGCTTTTCTGTTCAGCCAGTCTTGTTTGCTCTTCAAATACCTCTGCCACATAGTACAGCCAGACAAAGGATACCACGGTCCGTAACTACAGGTCTGCAGCTGCTTCTGTCACCTACCTGCTCACTGAACAGCACAGGGTTATAGTGCTAATGTACCGTCCAACAAGCAAGCAGCTGACACCAACAAGTGGCAAACCATCAGTCCTGCAATGTGGTATAAAACTGCCTGTCTACTCAGCTTGGCATCACAAGACTGGCTAACCAGAATTCTAAATCTTTTGGCAAACAAAATGGTTCTGATTTCTTCATTTCAGCTGTATAATCAGCTGTTGCATGAGGCTGTTTTGATACACTATGTTATGAAGCAGTATTTGGATTCCTCTTCTTCACAAGCAGACTCCAGTAAACACTGATTGGGGAAGGGAATTGTATCCCCACCACTGACCCCTATGCTCTGGCCTGCCAAGCAGATGTTATTACATGAACCCATGTGGTATTACTGTGTGCTCCACACCAAGAAACAGTGTTCTAATTAAATAAGCAGTGACTGGACATGAGACCAGGGACAAATCAATGTAGGCAGTATGTAAATATAAAATAAATGCTTATTAACAAAAGGTTACTATGTTAGGTTACTAAGCTTACTATGAAAGTTCACCCATTGCTTTTTCCGGGAAATATTCTATATTGCCTTACTAAACAATCTGAAGTGGACCTCCAGGCAAAAAAGCTAAAAAATCATAAGTGGACTCCTTTGCTTGTCAAAGCAAGAATTAGTCTTCTGATTCACAGCCCTGATACCACAGTTGTTTAAATTCATTTTTTTCTCTCATTAATCTAGCCTCAGTCCCCCCACAGGGACGAAGAAAAAGACTGGAGGCTGTAATTGCTGCCAGAAGGTGCTTCAGAAATGTACAGAGTAATGAATACTTAAGTACATGAGATATTTCATTTTTTTCCTTTTAATAATTTCAGACATTTCTACAATTCTGTTTTCACTTTGCCATTATGAGGTACTGAATGTAGGTTAATGAGAAAAAAAATTTATTCAAACAATTGTAATACAGACTACAACATAACAAAATAGAAAAAAGTGAAGGGGATCTAATACTTTTTTAAATGCACTGTAATTTAATTATAAATATTTATGCACATGAAACAATTCATACATGAAAAAACCAAACTATATTTAGCAGTTGGTCTAGAGTTCCTGCACATCAATGTATTGCAAGAATATGGAAGACCGGGAAGGAAGTCAAGTTCAGTTTGTTTTTTTTTCTTGCCCCGTGCCCATAGGATATGTGCTCCCCACTGTCCTCACAACAGTGTAATCTATCTACAGTCTTACGTAAGGTCAAGAGGTGTTATTTCACTCTCACACTGATCATTGCATTGGCATACTACAATGACTTGTGTATACTGGAGTTGCCCTGTGAAGGAAACTGCTGCTTGGGGGGCTTCTAAACCAGCAATTGCAAAAAAAAAAAAAAAAAAAAAACAAAAAAAAAAAAAAAACACCACCACCGCAAACATCAGTGCTGTGCTGAGCAGCATAAGGCACACCGCAATGAACAGAGATACAGCTGATGTATCACAAGTAATACTAGGTACATGCATACCTGCTGCTCCAAGTCATGACAGCGCTGCAGGATGTCACTTTTCTCATCTGTGTCCTCACTGATGTAGTAATATTTACGGGACTGGAAGAGAGAGAATGCCAACAAGCATTGGAAGATTGGAGGGAGTGATAAATGGGAGAGAAAGATAAAAAGAAAAGAAAAGGGGGGCGTAAAAAATTAATTTAGGCCTGTCACTCCCATAAAATAAAAATCTTGTTCAGAAACACTTATTTGGAGCTCTGAGTCCACTACTACTTCTCATGTCTGCTCCTGCACAGTGGCCTAGGATGGGTTTTATGTGACGCCAATCATTGCTTCTATTTCACACAGAACCTGTACTCGGCCCAGAAGAATAAGTGTCAAAGTGGTAGTATACGGTCATACCAAGCTGTGGAGCAGCAAAGAAGGGCAACAGACCATTTTTTGCCTTTAGGTTTGTTTTAGTATCTCTGTTCTATGACTAATGAAATCACGTTAACATTGAACTCTGGGATAGTTGCTAATTTTGACCAAAAATTCCTCTCTCCTTGAACATTAGAATTGTTATTATTGCTTTTGTCAAAACATTTTAGTTTATATAAAAAAAAAAAAAAAAAAAAAAAAAGGGACTAGGAACATCACTTGTAAAGAGTTAGCGCAGCTGTGCCTGCGCACCTAGGAAAGATAAAGGAAGCACCTCCGTTCCAAATCACACCATACAGGCATGACGGAGCGTGCGTGTATCCATGCGTTGCGTATAATGTGGCCTATTCATTTCAAAAGGCTGCCCTATATGCAAAAAACATGTAAAGAAGTCCCTGACCATGTTGCTAAATTGTGCTGAAATGAGTTTTGGTGTGCACATTAACAGATGCGTTTGGTGCCATTAACAATTAATGGCACTGCCATATGTCTCCTGAAGGGCAGCACATTTCTGTGTATGGCGGGGAAAAAAAAAAAAAAAAAAAAAAAAAAAAAAAGCACGATTCCTGACATGCACAAAGTGTAAACCTAGGCTCTCTCTTCCTGTGCAGCACTAATGGAAGAAAGTATAATTCCCATTGTGCCAATCTATTTCAGCAGGTGTAAATGGGTATGACAGACCAGGAGTCTCCTGACCTGGAAACCATGGTATTATTTCATGGTGGGCAGGACAGACAAGGAGTCTCCTGGCCTGGAAACCAAAGCGTTATTTTATAGTGGGCAGGACGAACAAGAAGTGAACTGTCTTGGAAACCATAGTATTATTTCATGGTGGGCAGGACAGACCAGGAGTCTCCTGGCCTGGAAACCATAGTGTTATTTCATGGTGGGCAGGACAGACCAGGAGTCTCCTGGCCTGGAAACCATAGTGTTATTTCATGGTGGGCAGGACAGACAAGGAGTCTCCTGGCCTGGAAACCATGGTATTATTTCATGGTGGGCAGGACAGACCAGGAGTCTCCTGGCCTGGAAACCATGGTATTATTTCATGGTGGGCAGGACAGACCAGGAGTCTCCTGGCCTGGAAACCATAGTATTATTTCATGGTGGGCAGGACAGACCAGGAGTCTCCTGGTCTGTCAATCAAATTCAGCTGTGCCAGTTGACAGGACAGGCTGGGAGTCTGAGATCCTAGGTCCTGCCAGTGATGCAATTACATCACCTTTGTAAATAAAAAGCTACAGCAGAGAGGTTCCAAAACTGGTGGCCCAGGGCAGGAGCTGGCACAGCAAACACCAGTCTTACACCCAGGAAAACCGGAACCCTTTTTATGCATGATTTATGGAGTGATTTCGCAATGGCTGCTGCACTGTATGCAATAAGAAGGAACTGATGGAAAGTAGGACACCACATCTGTAAAATTGCCACACAATGTGTGCACAGTGTTCAGCTTTAGAACCAAGCTACATGATGACATGTAAACAAAAGAAAAAAAAACATGATGCTGGCAAAGAATCAATATTTAAGTGCAAACACATAAAAAAAAAAATCAGTAATAATAATCGAAGGAACTGGACTTGTATTATTGCAGGTCTAGGGTTGTATGGCTGGGATGACAGAATGCACAGGTAGGCCTCAGCTTTTCTTCAGGGAAAACACTTCACTCACCTGACTGTCATAGTTCACGTAAGTGTCGGCTGTCACGGCATCAGAAGGTTCCTTACTCAGGAGCTGCAAGGAGTGAATTCACACAAATACATTGACAGTATTACAAGCTGTACTTAAATCACCACTAAGGTTTTAAAAATGTTGTAATTTTTATAGCTGTGTGGTTATTTCCTATAATGGTTGTATTCAGAATATTCATTTTTTTATTCCCCATATCTTTTTGTGGTAGTGGTTTTTTATACAGGTATTCCACCTAAAACTGATAGTTCTGTTTGTTGTAGATGTCAGGGAGTTGAACCATTTGATAATTCCTTTTTACGTACCATAGACTGAGTTGGTGAAATCTTAGATCCTAGTCTCTGGGTCTGTACACCTGCTGTGCCAATTATTAGGGACTCCTACCATTCCGGTTGGATTTCCTATTATGGAGAATTTACCAAAAAGAGTTGAGCGCACAAAGCTAAGGCACACACCAACCTCCCATGAGGACAGGAACAACACTGCTGTGATGTTTTCAGGAATGTATTGTACACCCACACGCACCCTGCCGCCTCCTCTCATCAGCTATTATGTTCCTGCATTGCATAGAACAGCACAGAGATCCAGTGATGACATCTCTGGGTATACAGAGCTGGAAATGACAGCAGGGAGAGCTCTTTGTTGGAAGTATCCAAGATATAAGAAGCTACAGGTGTTGACTCCATATGTAACAAAGTGGAACTACACTGCACCTGAGCACCGCAAACCAAAAACTTTATTTAATTCATTTTTGTTATTCAAAGCAAACTCATTCGTCTATGTTTGCATGCTTTATTTTGCTGAGAAATTACATTGAAAAACACTCTCTAGCATTTCTGGCAGCGGCTATCTTGAGTAAGGGCAGACGATTCACGTACAAATTAATAAAAAAAAAATATGAAAAGACAGGTTATAAATAGGCTAGGTATCTGCTACCCTGTATATGTGCGGTCCAGTAACCAAACATACAGTTGTGTTCAAAATAATAGCAGTCAGACATCACTAACCAGATCAATCACTGTTTTCGGTAGAAATGATATTTCTACATGGCAAATAATTTACTAGCAGGTGTAGTAGAGTAATAGAAATCCAACAGACACAACAGTCATGACATGCATGCTGCCGATTCTGTGTCATTGAATCACTCATTGAAAGGGGCATGTTCAAAATAATAGCAGTGTGGAGTTCTATTAGTGAGGTCATTCATTCTTTGAAAAACAGGTGGCAATTATTGCCCTTATTTAAGGAAGGAAGGCAGCAAATGTTGTACATGCTGGTTACAGTGCATTTCTCTCTGAAATTCTGAGGAAAATGGGTCGTTCCAGACATTGTTCAGAAGAACAGCATACCTTGATTAAAAAGTTGATTGGAGAGGGGAAAACATATAAAGAAGTGCAGAAAATGATAGGTTGCTCAGCTAAAATGATTGCAAATGCTTTAAAATGGCCACCAAAACCTGAAAGAAGTGGAAGAAAGCGAAAAACTACCATTGGAATGGATAGAAGAATAGCCAAAATGGCGCGGACTCAGCCAACAATCAGCTCCAGGAAGATGAAAGAAGGTGTAAAGTTCCCTGTGAGGACTGTTACAATTAGAAGACACCTATGTGAAGCCAAGCTATCTGCAAGAAGCCCCCGCAAAGTCCCACTGTTGGAAAAAAGACATGCTGAAGAGGTTACAATTTGCCAAAGAGCACATTGACTGGCCTAAAGAGAAATGGCGCAACATTTTGTGGACTGATGAAAGTAAGATTGTTCTTTTTGGGTCTAGTGGCCGGAGACAGTTTGTCAGACGACCCCCAAACACTGAATTCAAGCCACAGTACACTGTGAAGACAGTGAAGCATGGTGGTGCAAGCATCATGATATGGGGATGTTTCTCATACTACGGTGTTGGGCCTATTTATCGCATACCAGGGATCATGGATCAGTTTGAATACATCAGAATACTTGAAGAGGTCATGCTGCCTTATGCTGAAGAGGAAATGCCCTTGAAATGGGTGTTCCAACAAGACAACGACCCCAAACACACCAGGAAACGTGCAACATCTTGGTTCCAGACCAACAAGATTGACGTTATGGAGTGGCCAGCCCAATCCCCGGATCTTAATCCAATAGAAAACTTGTGGGGTGACATCAAAAATGCCGTTTCTGAGGCAAAACCAAGAAATAGAGAAGAACTGTGGAATGTGGTCCAATCATCCTGGGCTGGAATACCTGATCACAGGGGCCACAAGTTGGGTGACTCCATGCAACACAGATGTACAGCAGTTCTCAGAAACAGTGCGACTACAACCAAATATTCATTAAGTGATTCAAAGGAAAGCAAAATCTTCAAACATTTTTCAGTTTATATAGTGAATGTTTGAGTTTGTAAAGAAGAATACAAACACTGCTATTTTTTTGATCCGTCTAATATTCACTTTTCTTCAATTTTTTTTTTAGAGGAACAACACAAATTTGATCTATTTTACTTCATGTTTTGATTTGGAATAGAATGTGTCGTGTTCCCAATGCATTTTTTGTGGATGGAAATAAAAGCTATTAGAAGGATTTTGAGCTTTATTCACTTTTTTCAACACACTGCTACTATTTTGAACACAATTGTACCTAGTAACTAAAAAACAGACGTGAACAGGATGTTCGCCAAAGCGGTTACAGGAAAGACCCATGCAGTAAACCATTACACATTATGTATGAAACAATACAAATTTTATTATGGTTCAGAAAATAAAACGCAAGCAATAAGGCAGGCACTGTCTGACTTACTGCAGCTTCTAATATACTATGTGGAAAGCTCACAGTGTGCTGTAAAATCAGAGTAAGCAATTTCAGTACTTGGAAAAACTCTACACAACTGTACATGGCAGCACGTAAGGCTGGAGTTTAGCTTTAAACATGGTTTAGGTAAGTAAGCATTCCCTATTCCAAGGGAACAACCTCTAACCCTTTTGTTAATCAGCCCCAATATGAATTATCACAGCAGGAACAAAGTAACAGTTCTTCCACTTACTTCCTGGATGGATTCCATGACGGCCTGCTGTACAGATTCCCCCAAGGTCATGATCTGCTGGATGTGCTCTGGATGAACACATAATACAACATCACTACACAAATATAGAACCAAAACAGAAAGCAATTCTAGTAATAAATGGGAGGGAAGCAATACAAAAGTCCTACGTGCTCTAGAACAGTGTTTCTCAACCTTTTTTCAGTCAAGGCACCCTTTAAAATTATGGACAGTCCCGAGGCACCCTTTAAAATTATGGACAGTCTTGAGGCATCCCATTCTAAAATGTGAAAAACGATTCTAATCATTTTATATAACGCAGCAACATACACACATGTAGCACACCCAACATCAGAGGTGATTCTTCAAAAGCAAATACACTTTTGTACACTGGTACTGACTAGTATTCCCATGTTTCTCTTCTCCCTCAGTTTTTATCCATCACTGAACTAATGTGACCCCAGCACTGATGTAGAGCGGCACGAGAAGGTCAAACTAGGATGCTATGCAGGCAGCTGGCATCCTCCTTATCAACAGATGATGTCATTGGTTGTCAGGACGCTGGCGGCTAGAAGGTCGTAATGGTGCCCAATAAAAACCTGTGGCTTTGTGTATCTAAAAGGCAGGCTTGTTCCACTTGCTGGCTTGTATATAAGTTTTGGGCAATTTTTAGACATTTTGCCAAGGCACCTCTGAAGAAACCCCAAGGCACCCCAGGGTGCCTGGGCGCCCTGGTTGAGAAAGGCTGCCCTAGGACAGTATTAGGACTAGCAATAGCTGCCATGTGCATGACAGTACATCATCAGTTTAGGGTGTATGTAAACCCCAAATCTATTTTTAAGTAGGTCCAGCATCGAGTCTTTCTGCTATCACCTTGCAATTAGCAAAAGAGTTGTCAGTCTGTCACACAAACCTCTTCAGTTGGCCATTGGGCTCCCCATCTGATAGACCTTGGAGGCAGCCCAAATGAAGGAGCACAGATGGCAGACTGACAACACTGTTGCTAGTTGTAAGGCAATGGCTTAAATGTTGTCGGTTTGCAATGGAAAGTGCTGCTATTGGCAAAAAGGAAACTTTGCAACAGATTCTCAAAAATAATTGGCAGCACATCTTACTGTATAGTTTCTTATCCACAACATACAGAATAGATTGCTCTCATGTCTCCATTTTTTTTTTTTGCTAGTGCCCTGGAAGGATAGCCATCTTTTCTCATCTCCACTGATTTAAGACTGGACCCACCTATGTTAACCTTTTTTCATTTAGCAACCTTGAACCTACCTGGAGCAGTTGTCCCCAGACTCGAATTTATTTATTTATTTATTTTTTGTATTTCAATAGTTTTTATTAGTTTTCAGCAGTATAAAACAGAGGCGACAAAACATGCCCCCACAGGGGCTATCAATTGCACCGATAAGATAAAAAACATAATAATAAAAGAAAAACAGTGCTCTAACTTCAACAAGGCAGAAGGTACGCCCACGCAGGGGCTATCAATGGCACATAGGTTACAATGACGGTAATGAAATTCTAACTGCAATTAAAGGCAGCTGTCAACTATCACCCAAAAAAACTAACAGAAATGGAGAGAAAGAAAGAGAAGAGAAATAAGAGGAGAGAAAAAAAAAAAAAAAAAGAGAAGGAGAAGAGGGGGCAGAGATCCAAGAGCGCCACCATCAAACGCCAGTGCCTAATGCCAGTACATCCCCATACTAGCCAAAGGAAGCGTGGGAAAGGCATATTGCAACCATGGTTCCCATATTTTCGAGAATTTACATTGGGAGTCGTTGCATATGCTCGACATCCAGACTCGAATTTTGATCTTACTATAAATGGACTCCACTGAACAGGACATTCATAGGTTGTGCTGGAAAATGACCCTTGGGCTCTGGGCTCTACTTGAGAACTTTCCAGTTGGTTCTGAACAAGTCAGCTGGGGAGCGCTTTCCAGGTTTAGAGCTGCTAGCATTGTCCCTGTGTTTGCTTTGTCTCTGAAGACTCAATTGTGCAACTAGGACATACAGGCCAGGCACTGGGAGATCTTACACTTTATTAGCTGCTGGGCACCTAGCTTGTCCACCCCCCCCTTTTACCTAACCTGCCATGAAATGGCTTAATTGTGGGGCAGAGTGCTGACATAATTCCATTGAGTGAAGCCAAGCGTGTGGGTCTACCCAGCCTGACAGCATTTAAGACGTGTAAGCCTTGCTGCTGCTCCTGCTACAAGAGCCTCATAGAACTTTGATCACTGATCTGTTCCAACTGCCCACCTACAGTGAAGCTTAGTCACCTCCAGCTGCTCAGCCTTCCAGTACTGATCGTCATCTACCAGTTACTGTACCTAGGCTTCACAGGTACTCAAGATCTCATCTCCTGCCTTTAACAGCTGGAACATGTTTGATTCTAGATAAGGGGGACAGTCCTGTTGTATTGGGTGTTGTCAGTACATTGTCCACTTAGGGTCAGGTTCTGCTTGCAAACCCCTCACCCCCAAAAGCGGCAATGCCCGAAGCTTAGAGTCATGTTGCACTTTGGTGTTAAGAGCCCATGCCCTACTTGGTGTTCTGCTTGGTTCCATTGGGTGTTGCTGGTCCTGCTCCTCTCTCGGAAAAGGTTTATACTAGTCATACGTTTTGTTGCAGATTACCCAGTTAAACTCTGCCAGTGCACCTTCCCCTGCAGACTCCGTTCCTGACCTGCCTATGGCCTTAGATGCCTTCAGCTGTGGAATCTCTTTGAACACGAATTGCTCAAATCACTGATTGAAGAGCTTTCATCCTACATGGCCCCCCGATGCCTCCAAAACCTTCCCTTCACACTCTCAGAGTTGTTTATGAAGACTGAAGTGCCCTACTAGGGCTTTTGCACTTTCCAAACTCTTGTAGGCCCTTTAATTCTCATTGAGGAGTATGTCACTGAGTAGTTTGTCCCTGATGTAGATCTGGGTATCTCTTGCATTAATAAGGTGCTTTACCATACTGGTGGAGGATGATCCTTCCCTCTAATAAGAGACTAAACTCTTTCTAGGGCTATGTTCTTCTTGGCAGGCTCTGCTTGCAGTACTCCTATGCCCAGGGAGTTTACTTCTTGCAAGGTTCATCACCACATATGGAAAGTGTGAATAAAATGGCTTTCACCTCAGGAGTTTCTCTGTGGGACAGATCCTTTTCTCCAGTTAGGCCTCAGAAGTTCCATTTTGAACTCAGAGACATACATCTCTCTGCTCTGACTCACAAGGTTGTTTTCCATGTAGTGACCACCTTGGCTTTGCAGGTGTATGAAATGGCAACTTTACCTTGCAAGGAACCCTTTTTATTTCCGCACAAAGAGGTGTTGAGGCCTAGGCCTTGCTACCTTCCTAAAATGGTCTTTGCTTTTCACCTTAACCTGGAAATTGGAAATCTTCCTCTATAAAGACACAACCAGAACAAAGTGGCTTGAGTGACGGCTACGTTTCTGTTAGGGACAGGGCACAGAGGAAGCGTTTTCTGGTCAATTATTGTAATTACAAGTCATAGATAATGTAGGGGGGGCTGAGCAACACCATCCGTGGCACGGTGTCACTTGAAAATACCTGGTAGTGTCCAATGCTGATTGCTGGACAACCAGAGCATGGACAGATGTCAAACATGGTGCTACATATTTATCAAGGTTCATGTGTTTTATGACCGTTTAATGCTCAGAGTAATTTTGGGTGAACTTTCACTTTTAACAATAAATGTGAACACATGGCAGCTATTCCACAGCCAGAGAGATGTGATAAGGCAAAATCACCACTCACCTTCCTTCTTGTCACAGCTGATGGCACATCCCAGGACAAGCTGCACCATCTTCCTGAGCTCTGCTGTGTTGGAGAACTCCCCGATCAATGTAACGTCTGGAATATGATCCTCCGAAACTGGGTGGCCTAGTACCTGACCAGACAGGACAACACATGGGTAAGAAGTAAAATAAGCACCCTTCTCTTTATCAGTGTAGAACATGATGACCGACTGTGGTCTGTGCCCCACCAAAACATTGGTCACAAAATAAAGTTTCTTTGTTTTGTACTTGACTTCTTGAAATCTTGTAATTGCTCTGTTGCAACTAGGAGAAATTGGACCGTGCTTACGGAGTAGCCAGTACAATGGCTTCATATGAGCAAGGATTTTCTGCTTTTTTTTGTATGTATATATGACCTCTAACCATAAAGAGAGAATGTCATCACTGGGGAAAAAAGGTACACACAATGTACATACACACTTCATAACATATGCGGCGCTGGGGGTGGCGTAACGCGTAGGAGGAGCCGGGGGTGACACTGGTGTCGCAGGAGAGCCGATTTACGGCTGTAAAGTGAGATTTTAAAGGAGTTTAATATTTGAATATTGTAAGTGCATTACTGTTATTAATTTCTTGAAATGAGGCTTACTACACTACGAGAGGCCATTGTATGTTTTCTGTACTGGCAGCAATGAAGGCAGAGACCGGCAGTCTTTTAAGGGACATCTGCCAGGACTAATAAAAGGAGAAGTTCATCCATAAGGTCAACCAGGAAGATAGAGACCATTATACCTATACCCCATCGAGAGTAAAATGCCCATCTAGACCTAACAACATATGTTCTTAGGTCCACAACTAGAGGGGAGCGCATAGGAGGAAAGGTGGTGGGACCCACTTTGCATGCGGGTGTGGATCTTTGTTTATTATGCAGAGAGTGGAGGAAGATTGTCACGCTGGGGATAGAAAACATGTTCTTTGGACTGGGACTATATGGAGTATCATCACTAAGGAATTTTGTCTATGTTTATTTTTTCCTTTGGATATATTAGTCTTCACAATTTTTTATGTGGTTCAAGTAATACGCCGTGTGTAATTTCTGAATCACACGAGTAGGCACATGTATAGCTATACACGAAGGGAACGCCGCATGTCTAATGGATAATGGTTTATTGTAGCAGTGCAGGAACACACTTTAATGTGAGCAGCACCCTGACAAATACTGTACATTCACAACTTTAACTTATTAATTTTACTTATATTTTTTGTACATTTATTCTATTGCATACATTTTTTTTTCTATTGGAAGATGTAAACATACTCCTGATGAAGTCACATGATATGACGCAACACGTAGGGTGTGCCGATGGCGTCAGGCCATAAACCAGAAGTGGACGTGCCGACATTTGGGATAAGGGATTTCTGCATATTTCTCACAGCAAACACTGTATAGTGAGTTTTTAACCCTGTAGTGTCCGAGGACGACACATTTTAATGTGAGTTTTACTAGATTGTTTTAAATAAAGGTTATTTTGAGTGCCAATTTTACACTATGTGGAGCATTTTTCTCACGTGGATGTGGAGCTATCTGGAGATGTTTAAAAGGGCTGACTAACGGTGGTGAAGATCTATGTACCAGTATACCCTCCCGGGTTAAAGGGGAAGGCATAGTTTGACCTGTCATTACGGATCAAACTTGGAGGTGAGCGGAATTGAGTGTTGGAAGCGGATGAGCACTAAGGGGTGACACAGGAGCACCATACACGTGTATGTAGTAGTGTGGTACACTGGTTTATTTCGAAGTACAGTGGATTTAAAAGGGACGCTTCACCAATTTTTGAGACTATATTCTGATGACACTTATAGTTGGTGTATGTGAATCACGATTCATGGGATATATACCACACAAGTCCACGTTCTGATATTCAAGATTTAAAGGGACAGTTCACTATTAAGGACAATTATTCATCATCTGTGTGCACAATTAATGTATAGCACTGGTTATGTACAGTCTATGGAGTCGTATATGCATGTATTGATTAGATGTCTGGTATAGCACACATGGATTCTCACCAGCATAGTCGTTTGTTTTTTGTGCACGTATTTATTGTTTAGCACTATATTTTGCATTTATATTGTTGCGCTGCATTTTCGATTTGTTTATCCCTCACAATTGTTTAATTAGGTCTTGCATTTAGTGACAGGTAACGCAGACGTTTCACAATACATATTGTACATACACACTTTGCTCTGAAACTGGGACAGGAAGTGGGGTGAATCTCTTCAATGGTGACACAGACAGCAATAAGTAACCTCAAGTTTTTGCTGCCATGTCCCTGCTTAGTACATTTCTTTAGTTTCTGTTGTGTCACTGAGATAAAAAAAAAACAAAAAAAACCCCTCAATCATAAAACAGCAACGCATGCATGGGGCTTTTTCTGGGATATGGACTGTACAGCAGGTGAGGAGGAAGTGCAGGTGAGGTAAATGACACAGGAAAACTTTGCATACAAAGAGATAACATCTGATAGGGGAACCCCACCAAAACAAAGATTCTATTGTCTGCAAGGAACAGGATTCAAGCATAAAAACTACAGTGGACAGCTGTCATGGAAAGGGAAAGTTTTGCTTGGTGGGCAGCATTCTAAAGAGAAACAGTTTTTTTTTTTGTTTTTAAGATTGATGGAAAAACAACCTAAAATCCTCAGGAATTTACCAGCCCCCATGGGGTTGATTTACTAAAGGAAATACAGTTTGTTTTGCAATTGAAGTTGAACTCTGCATGCTAATTTTCCCCAGAGTTTAGTGAATGTGGTGAAGTTTCACTTTGCAAAAAAATACCCAATCATGTGCAAAGAAAAAAAAACAAAACAAAAACATGTGCATTTGCTTGCACATGATTGGATGATGGATGTCAGCAGAGCGTCACCTTATTCACTATGCTCTGGGGATAGAACTCTTGTAAAGTACAACAAGGTAGACAGTCTATTTGCCTTTAGTAACTTAAAGAAGAACTTCAGGGTAGGCAAAAAAAAAAAAAAAAATTAGTACACCCCCTACACAAAACAATAAACGGTTAATAACATTTATTAACCACAAGGACTTGCAGTAAATGTGGGTGGATACACTAGGTCTGTACATGCTGAAAGTGTCAGAGTCCCAGTCTGCCCACCACTGCAAGTGGGCCTGAATGACATCACTGCTTCCTGGAGATAGAACTACAGAGGGGATGTGCCAAGACCAGTGGCAGGGGGAATAGGAGGCATAGCAGCCACTAGTCTTTCAAACAGGAAACTAAAGAAAAATTAACGGTTTGATTTGAAAATGAATAGGCTATTTCAGAGCAACTACTGAGTGAACCAGAAGATGGATGACATATTCAGTGAAGGTAGGAAATCAGCAACAAGGACATGTAAAGAAGTTTTTGCCCAGAGTTCTGCTTTAACTCCTATGTTTACAAGAACCACACACAGCGAGCATTGACAGAAGGGGTTAGATTGCCCGAACGTACCCATTAAGGAAGTTATGATCTAATATAATTCATTTCGAAACATTCAGATTAAAGAACAAACAACTCAGAACAAAGTACTCACATCCTGGTAATACTCCAGAACACTCTGAAGGATTTTCTTCAAGTTGTTTACCTGGCAGAAGATAACAAGAGATAAAGAAGCTAGGGAGGATTGCTATAATATGGTCAATATTTGAAGTCTCTGTTCAACAAAACCAGAAATCGAAAGAGGATGTTTACATAGTCATTATAAAACATAACCAAGAAGTTTGACTTTAAATTGAACCTATAAATCAGCCTCTCAACATTTTTAACATGGGGGAACCCTTAAAATAACTTTCTGATCTCAGGGAACCCCTGCTAATACTTACTATATCTGCAGATCACAGCACATTAGTGACTGGTCAGAGACAAAAATGCTCCGTGGTAAGAATCCCTCCTTACAGTTAGATAACAAAAAAGAATTGTTGTCTGGGGTTACTTATCTGAGAGCCAGAATCTGTTCACTGCTCAAGGAACTCCAGACAACATCTGGAGGAACACTAAGGTTCCATGGAATCCTGGTTGAGAAAGGTGGCTACAGACGTTGGAGAATTTAAACAATTTTAACAAACACTAAATAAGCTTTAAAACAAGCACTCACTGACCTCTGTAACTACAGGTACTGCGGAGGAATGCATCCTCAAGGTTCACAGCAGAAGTACCAAAGCTATTCTTTCAGTCAACTCAGCTCAGTCGGCCACAAGTTCACTTTAAAGCAAACCCTTCTATTGCCCAGACCAGCCAAAGTAGCAGATTAACTCGGCTGCCTTGGATCATTTTACGCCTGTAAATTCCTATGCTGACTTCCACTTTCACAAAGCTGCCCTGTAGATTCAGTTACAATAATACATCTCCATAACTCAGCTCCATAATGTCCCATATTCATTTTAGTGGTCCATTTTCACACATGGTCAGGGTAAAATTATGTCCCTAGGTTTATGCCTCTCAAACAAAAAAAAAAATAGGAAGAAAGAATAATGGTAGCTTTAAAAGCTGTGCATGGGCATTGCACGCCATTTTTCTTTTAGTTATGTAGTGTGTGGAAGGGTTAGAGCCTCTGTCAAGTTTTTAATTCTGTCTGTGCCTCCATTGATAAGATTTTGCTTTACCTTTCTGGGTGAGGGAGGGGGAATCTCTCCAACAAGAATGCAAAAAACAGCAATAAAACCATGACAGAGGGTCTAACACTTCCCGATTTTATGTTTAAGTCTGATTTCATGCCGTTAACAAACATTTACTGCTTGCAGTGTGAGAAGGGGCATTTTTTTTTTTAAGTCTAGGGGTGCAGGAATACAATGAAAATACTTAATGTATACCTTGCTCCAGCAGAGTCCCTTCTGCACTATGACCGCATTCCTGCAGGGGGACCCACAGCCTGATCTAAAGGCTGAGACCATTGTAGGTGGCACTTTAGCATCCTCAGCGTACATTACTGAGTTAATGATCCTGTATTATACATGATGATGCTGAAGCTCCACCCAGAGACCAGAGAGGGGGTGTAAGGCAAGTGCTATAGCGTGTGTACTTTAACCCCTAAACATAATGAGCACATAACCCTTGTAATGCAGAGGCGCCACCCCCCCCCTGCAGGGGTGGATTTTTTTCTTCTTATAATTCCTGGAAATTGGCTTTAATACTTTCACTGCCAGAACCATTTCAACATTTTTTTGCACACGGTTAAAGTTTCATTTTAGGCCTGAAGATTACATAAACCACCAAACATATATTTTAATAAAGCAGACACCCTAGAGCAGTGGTTCTCAACCTTCCTAATGTCACGACCCTTTAATACAGTTCCTCATGTTGTGGTGACCCCCCAACCATAAAATTATTCAAAACGGTCGATCATTTTGCGCCCTGGTCAATCGACTGAAGGAATTTGATGGGAACGGAAGTTAATCTGATTGCCAATTGGATCTGATAGTAAAATTGAAGTGTGTATTCCCCCCTCCCCCCCAGGGATATCAGCCCTCTCCCACACCAAGTCGTCTGTCCTGAGGCTCCTTTTATGACCCCGGAAAATTTGGGATTGCTGGTCGCGCGGCTCGCGGTGTACCTCTAGCGAGCCGGGTGCCCCGGTGCCAGCCCTCGTGCTGTGAGGAGAAGCCTCCGTGGGCGCTGTAGGGCGCACACTCTGCGGGTAACCAGATCCCCCCTCCCCGGAGACAAAGGGGGGCCCGGCTCACATCTATCCAGCTGTTGTGAGCAGCTGCCCGCCTGAGGAAACATGCAGCAGGTGCAAGGGCAGCCAATGGGTGGCAGTGGGGCACCTCCGACCTGCCCCTTGCAGGGGAGGAGCCTCCAGCCTGGCCGGCCGCTCATAACGCACAGGGAAGAGGGAGCGGGCCAGTCAGTGTGCTGGTGTTAGTTCAGCGTGAGAGGCTTGCAGCAAGCCGGGAGTGCGGGACGCCCTGCCGAGCCCCTCCGGCCGCCCTCACCACTACCTCATAGAGTCTATCTGTATGTGGGCGGACCCGCCTGGAGACGGATAGAGGAGCGGTGTCTCGGTTCCTAAGACCATCGGAAATATGTGTTTTCCAATGGTCTTAGGCAACCCCTGTGAAAGGGTTGTTCGACCCCCAAAGGGGTCGCGACCCACAGGTTGAGAACCGCTGCCCTAGAGAATAAAAAAAGTGGTAGTTTCAATTTTTTGTCACATAATATTAGTGCAACAGTTTATGAAACTACAGTTAATTGTAGGGCACATCAGCACAATATATTAACCAATCGAATGATAAAATTTAAAAGATGAGGTAGTGCCAAGTAAATGGATATCCAACACACCAAACCTTGAAATTGTGTGTTCCTGTGAAATGGCGACAAACTTCAGTACACAATATGCTTTCCATAGGTGACGCTATAAAAGCCCCTACAGGTCATCAGTTTGGAGGTAACCATGAACAACCGGCCGAGGATTATTGCTCTCTCATTCTGGCATGTGTGGCGATATTTAACGTGTACTGTGTGTAAGCACCCCCAATGCATGCATTTAAGTTTGTGTCTATGTGGTGGTGGCTCAAGATTATCTTGATGGGTATTTTAAGCGCTTCAGTGTAACTAATTTTTTTCACTTTTTTAATTTTTTTTTAATAAATTTTTCCCGCATCACATAGGGGACAAAAGTCTGCAGCGGCTGGGAGTGTGTGTAAAAGCCTCCACTGCCAGCCGATGGAGCTTTTTTTTTTTTTACTTCGTGGTATGCAACAAAACACAGTAGCATGACATGACTTCATGATCGGGACAAATGCATCCGCTGCCACAGCAATATAGGTGGAAACATAGGAAATCAGCAAAAAAACAAGTCAGTATTCAGTGTGTCATGCCACCTATAGTAAGCGATTAGAGCCTAAGAGGCTAGCATACAATAAAATGACCTGTGAGATAGATAATAGCCCACATGGAAGAAAAATATATTTGAAATACATTTTTTTAAAGTATTTTTCCAAAATATTTGAATATGCTACTACTAATTTATATCTATCTATCTATCTATCTATCTATCTATCTCTATATCACATACATACACTGCATGTTGAAATGTGTTTTTATTACAAAATATTTTTAAAAATACATTTCAAATACACTGTCTTTAATTTTAAGATATATATTTGTAAATGCATTTCAAAAATGTAGATTTGTATTTTTACTTTTTTATACGTTAAAAAAACCTGAAGCATATATTTAAAAAAAATATATTTTTTTAAATATATTCTTCAGATTTTTTTTTTTTAAAACATAAAAAAGTCATTTTAAACATATATTTGTAAATGCATTCAAAAAATGTAGATTTGTATTTTTAAAGACATACAGTATAATTGAAATGTATTTTTAAAAATATTTTTCATATATTTTGTAATAGAAACGCAATTCAACAATATATTGAATATGGCCATAATTGTAGCATTTCAAATATATGGCAATATATTTGGGAAGAAAATTTTTAAAATATATTTCAAATACGGTATATTTTTCTTCCATATGGGAGCACAGAAGAGACCATGTATGTCATGTGTACACCATTATGGTCAAACGTAGAACAGGTATTGATGGACAGGAGGGAGGAGGATGGTCAGCTGTCATATCTGGTGGCAGACAATATGTCTAAACCTCTTAGCTGTCATGCCCTGTTGTCAGTGCATACCAGGTGACTTTTTTTTTTTAATTTTAATGTAAAAAAAGAAAGACATCGCAGGGTCCGACGTAGTTACTACAAGGGTTAAACTAATCTTGTGAAGAACTGTTCTGGCTGCAACAGGGCTTAAAGCTGGTGTTTAATCTGCTTCAGTTCTGCTTTCCCTTGTTTCTCCCCCCCTCCCCTCCAATATTCAATAGGCCAATATTACTTTCAAATAAAACATTTTTTTTTTCCAATTGCATACCTTATTTAGACCTAATGATGTTATCACTGGGTCTCTGAGCTGCTCTGTGCAATGCAGATAGATTACGGCTGGTGGGAGAGGCCAGCAGGGTGCTGAACATAGCTTCCTAAAAAGCATAACAACAGCACCCTGCCTCAGAACTCCTCAAGAGCCTTCAGATCTGACACAAGCAGCTTGCTTCAAACTTATGCAAACATTGAAATGCTCTGATGGATGGATGTTGGTCTGGAGGAGTCGGCGTTCACAGGTAGGCTGAATTTGCATATGGACTGTCCTAGGTAACACTTACATGTGATTATTGAACAAACTAAAATCCAATGAATGAAGAGTTGGGGTAAGGGACAGTAAAGCTCTGACTTGCTGCAGCTTCTAATGCACATTGTGAGAAATTCGCAGTGTGCAGCGATAGGAGAGTAAGCACTTTCAGCACAGGACAGGAGCCTTACAACTCACACGACTGCAGGGGAGGCTGGGGTTCAGCTTTAAAGTGCTTCTAAAGGCTGAAGATTCTTTACCTTCATGCAGTCTATGCAGCTGTCAATCACAGCTAGCGAGGAGGAAGCGGGGGTCGAGCTGCGCTCTATATGTTTTAAGGACATACAGGGACGGCTCAGGAGTGAGAACACACGAATGCCCCCAGAGAAAGCAGCATGCTCTGGGGCACTCGGCAGGAGGAAGGGGCCAGGAGCGCTGACAGGGGGCCCGAAAAGAGTAGGACTGAGGCTGATCTGTGCAAAACCATTACACAGAGCAGGTGAGTGCAACATGATATCATTAAAAAAAACAAAAACGTAGCTTTACAACCACTTTACAGCCTATAATCTACAAGTACATCCAGACCCTTTACCACTGAAGCTCTTTTTTCCAGGTAACTCTCCAGTCACCCAGTGTGTCTAGGTCAGCCTTTTCTTTAAAAATATGGCGCCCATTATATCAACCCACTGCAACCACGAGCACAACAGAGAAGAGCGGCTATAAAATGCCCATCAATTACACACATTTATATAATCACCTGTTCATTATTTTATCATTACTCACCTTCATCCTCCAATTATCTCCTGTGTCTGGCTTTATCCGCATAATCCAGGTCTCATTAAACCAGCTGGGATCTCTGCAGGAAAAGTAAAATTCAGTAAAACAAGAAAAACACAAAAAAGGCAGCGGACACTTCACACAGATCTGCACATAGCTTAACAAACCTAAAGCGGTTCTACCAAATAAATTTTTCCTGCTCAGTAATGTGCCAGTGTAGCATTCACTCTGACCTCTTACCAATATCACAACTCTTCCCCTGACAAAGCCTTCATCTGCTTTTCTTCCTTTAACCACTTCCCGACCGGCCGTTGTATATAAACGGCAGGACGGTGGCACTGCAGGGTCGGGTGGCCGTTTATAAACGGCCTCCCCGCCCCCTGCTTGTGAGCGCTCCCTGGGAGCGCGCAGCACCGCGATCCGGTGCCCGCTGTGTCCTCCGGACACAGTGAAACACCGATCGTCGGACGGGACCTCTGTACAAGGTCCCGATCATGTGATCACTGATTGGCCAATCAGTGATCACATGCAAAGTAGTAAGCAAGATGTCACTTGTGACATCATTGCTTACTACGTGTGAAATCTGTGAATGATCACAGAGGTCACATGGTACAAGGCTATTCACAACAGCCTTGTACCATGTGACAAGCTGTGACCACTCACAGCTCACTCAGTAATTCTCAATGAGTGCAAGAATGCACACAGAGAGAAAGAGAAATGATTGCTTTTACATTCTATATGGGTGTAAAAGCAATCAGTGTAAAAAAAAAAAAAAAGAAAATCTTCATCACCCCCCACAAGTAATAAAAATGTAAAAATAAAATGTTTAAAAATTATAATTTTTGGTTATAAACTAATTTGGATTTTTTTTTTTACTAAAAAGATAACGGAATACATTTTGGCTAAGATTTATGATGAAATATTATTTATTTGCAAAATTTTATAAAAAAAACACTTTTTGTTCAAAATTTTTGGACATTTCATTTACATAGCAAAAAAAATACAAATCCCAGTGGTGAATAAATACCACCAAAATAAAGCTTTATCTGTCTCAAAGAAATGGTATAAATTCATTTGGGTACAGTGTTGCATGACCGCGCAATTGTCATTCAAAGTGTGATAGCGCTAAAAGCTGAAAATTGCTCTGGTCAGGAAGGGGGTAAAAGTGTCCGGACATGAAGTGGTTCAAGGACGGAGCCATCTTTGGTAGCCTCCCTAGCGGTCTGATTATATCAGTATTTCTGTACTCAAAGCGGTACATTTTTTTGCATGGAAATATGTCTTTTTTTATTGTAGGCCTGTAATTCTTAGGAATAACTCACTGAAATCTGTCTCAACAAGAGTCTAGTAAACATCCAGGGATGTCAAAATTTGAACCACGAAATCATAAATTATAATTTAATAATCATAAAAAATATTATAATAATAAGAAATTTAATTCAAGAATATAATAAAACCAAAAACACTGAAATTTGAAATATAGCGCCAAGTTCGCACATCGCTGAGCAAAGTCGCAAAATTGTTTTCAGTGTCTGATGAAGAATTTCCCCCACGAATCATTATCACTCAATTCTGCAAGTGGTTCTGATTTACTATCGCTGTTCTCTAGCCGGTCTAAAACCGATTTTGACCTAAAGGGACGCTTTTTGGACGCCATGGACGTTTCTCAGTTTCCAGGCGGAAAGAATGGTAAAAATGCAGGCAGGGCGCCGGACAAAGCACTCGGGACAAAATGTATGTGAAATGGTTTGAAACAGCAATGTTATACTGTGTGATTTTAGTGTATTGAGTGAATGTCACTTTTTGACATTTTTAAATTTCCCGCCATTTCCGTCCCCGTACGTCCCAACATTACAGGGAACAGAACCCAGAAGATGGATGCCGGCATCGGCCGGAGGACATTACAGGGGACACTGCAGGGGGGACATCGCGGAAGCGCAGGACAAGGTAAGTGAAGAAGAGATCCCGGAGCAACGCTGCAGGGTATTCCTGAGTGTAGCTCGGGGTTACCGCTTGTGGTGCTGAAACTTTACCCCGAGCTACACTCAGGAATACCACCAGGGAGGTTAAAGTGGTTGTAAAGGCTCAAGGTTTTTACCTTTATGCATTCTATGCATGAAGGTAAATAAAGCCTGTGTGCAGCAGTTCCCCCAGCCCCCCCAATACTTACCAGAGCCCCACTGAGATCCAGCGATGTGCATGACAGCCTCAACTGTCCCGGGTCTCTGCCTCCTCATTGGCTGAGACAGGAAGCAGGAGTCATTGGCTCATGCTGCTGTCAATCACAGCCAATAAGGAGAGAAAGGGGGCAGGGGCCATGTCACGGCTCCATGTGTGAATGGACACACGTAGCAGCAAGCAGGAGACCCAACAGAAAGGAGAAGCCAGGAGACCCTGCTGGGGACCCGAGATGAAGAAAATCCAGGCTGCTCTGTGCAAAAATACTACACAGAGCAGGTAAGTATAGACATGTTTATTACTTTGCAAAATTAAAAAAAAAATAAAAAATAAACTTTTAATATCACTTTAAAGGTATTATCCAGGGTCCGATCCACTTTCTGGTCTGAGATCCCAGCTGAGAGATGACAACCATGTAAATCTTGGTGCAGTTCTTAGCTTTGTTCACAAACGTCTGACACAGAACAGCCCCTGCTGCATCCTCTCACCTTGTGGCTTGCTACAAAGATACAATTTTTCAGTCTGATCACTGGGGGAGAGGAGACTGAAGAAATGTTTCTTCCTGCCTGCAGACTCATAGTAACATCTAACTCTAGGCAAAGTCACTGGAGCACACAGATAGCTTTTTTATTGATAAAATAAAGAGCTTTTCTGATTTTACTATTCCTATATATTGTGAAGTCAGTTTTTTTTTATGCAGACTAGTAAATATACTGAAAAGTCAACTTTAAATGAGCGCAAAACACCAGCTTAAATAACAATTACAGGACATAGAGAGAGATTAGTTATGAACGATCATCTGTAAAACCTCTACATTCAGCACCATAACTGCCTGCTACTGGAAACACAAAACCATTGTTGTTCTAATCACTTAGCCGTCTTAAAGAAGGATAAAGAGGCTAATTATTGTTATCCCTATTTTTTTTTTTACACAATTATCTGAAGCATAGAGATGGTGGTGTACAGGCACATACAGTAAATATCCTGCAAGAAGGTAAAGCTGCTAAACCACCATGGCGGCAACTGCTGGACTCATTGCTATTATCCCATTAATGTAAATTTGTGGGGATTAACGTCATACTACCAATTTTGTAACTCTTCAATGCCCCCCACCCCAAGGCTCCAGTAAGGAAGAAAATAAACTCTCTTGTGCTCTATGACCCAACCCGGGGTAGGTAGATGAAACCAGGAATTGAAAGTTTCTACTACCAGTGCAGATGGGGTTGTGCAGCTCCAAACAAGGCTGGGGAAGCCCGACCAATACTGTGAAGCGAAAACAAACAAAAAGCGCACCAACCTTGCGCATTACCTCAGTAATGTCAAAATTTGTGAAATAAAGAATAATACTCACAAACAATGAAGTATATCAAGCATGTAAGTCCTCAAGGGGACTAATGATTAAAGCAGCCTGCGCGAGTCCCATCATGGGAGTGGAATGAAATGAAAACGAGAAGCGCACCAACCTTGTGCATTACCTCAGTAACCAAAATGTATTAATTGTAAAAAATATACTCACAAGCAGCGAATGAAATCAGGCATGTAAGTCCTCAAAGGGACTTGAAGATAGTGTGAATCCCATCAAGGGAATGGGTGTTAAGTATAGCTGACGCGTTTCGAAGGGAGTCCCTTCTTCATTTCTCCAGGCCTGGTTCCATCTATTCGCCACCTGTCTGGATCCTAGAGCGCAGGAGAATTCGTCTTTGATTTACCATCATGGGAGTGGACACTCAGGGTACAGCTGACACGTTTCAAAGGGCATCCCTTCTTCATCAGAGCTTGCAGGCTGCTTTAATCCTTAGTCCCCTTGAGGACTTACATGCTGGATATACTTCATGGTTTGTAAGTATTATTCTGTATTTAATAAATTTGGGCTTACCGAGGTAATGCGCAAGGTTGGTGCGCTTTTTGTTTGCTTTCGCTTCACCTAAGGCTCCAGTAGCAGGGGAAAGAAATGGCACAGACTTTCCATTATTTTGACACAAACTGAGGTAGCAAACCAAGACAAATGCATACTAATCTTGTACCATGTGCTCAAGTGTGACCTTTTCATACCCAAGCTCTTGGCTGGGGTCAAATACGTGCGCTACTCATCTGCTTTCAGCATTTGTGTGAACTAGACATTTGAAAAAGCAACACAAAAAGGAGAAAAACACTGTAGAATGGAACAGGGGTAGGGAGACAAATAGAAAAACTAAGTGAAAACCTAAATTTTCCTAAAAAAGCTCCCTGAATCCCTAAATTGCTCTCTGTGTTACTTGGATCCAAGGCCGTGGCTACACATTGAGCTTCTACTTATGCCCATATTGGGATGACACCACCCTACCCACCTCATGCCCCTTTCTCTTAAATTGGCCACAGACAGATCATAATTCAATCCGTCTATAGGCAGGCTGGTTGGGGTGGGACGAAGTTCCCTACAAATTTCTTAGGACATGTCTGGCTGACATCACTGCTTGCAGGTTGGTTGGCATCTTCCTATGTATGGCACGCCTACCCACTAGAGTACCATCCTCCAGCAATCTGATGCCTTCACTCCCCTACATCTCTCCCATCATAACTGCTAACATTACCTCCTGGGTTCTGTCTATTGGATCTGTCATTGGGCAGCCATTGATGATACGCAAGATACCTTCACCTCGCACTAAGCTCCATTTTTGGCATCTCATAGATCCCAACAATGAGCCAGAAGTGTACACTGTACTGCACACGCATACACAAAAATTGCTAGAAGCAAAGATGGGAGAAGTTGTTTTGGGAGAAGAGGTCATGCATGCAAAAAAAAAAAAAAACAAAACAAACAAAAAACCTGTACCGCCTATCAATCTTTTATTGAAGGACTAAAGCTTGAAGGGATCATTCACACTAGTGGTTGAGGGGTCTGAAAAACCCTGTGGTTGAGTCACATTTTCACCCGACCCCCAACTGTTACTCGCTTTAGCTGCAGTGGCTGGGGGTGTACACATACCACACCAGAAATTATACCCCCTGTCATTTTCGTTGGGTGCTACTGCCCACCAAACACAACCTATTCAAATGAGTGCATTGAACACGTCTGCAACAGCTCTACGGTCGTGTACAATGCATGGGGTTTAGACACGCTAGTGCAGGTGGTGCGGAGGTGATATAATGCCTCCTCGCTGCCTCTCAAATGCTCTCAAAAAGCAAAGCTAGTGTGAAGGAAGAGTAATAATAAAGTAAATGTTGTGCTGATAATGGGGTATGATAAACCGCAAACTCTGTGGGCAGAATGGGGAGAGGTTCTGAACATAACGCTGCCCCCCATTCTCTCCAGAATTCATAAGCGGGTAACAAAGTCAGATTTAAATCACATTTCACAAACTGCAGACAAAAAGGTAGATAGATTGTAGAAATATCAACAGCCTTTATTAGCTAGGGTCTTCAAAGGACTTCAGATGAAACCCTGTCAATCCTAAATAGTCTGGAGAACAGCAGAGAAATGCACAGCCATCAGACTGTGGGGGGGGGGGGGGGGGGGGGGGGGGGGGGCGGGGGGTGACCTATTTTAAACTAAAACTGGACTCCCAGAGCCAAACATTCAACATATGCCAAAATGCCTGAGGTAATGGAAGCACATTCATAAACAGTGGTTATACTAGTGTTAGGCTCCGTTCATACTAGTGTGACACGAGTTCTGCAGGTAGGGCAGCCTATTCATTTCAATGGGCGCAGAAACGTGGATAAAGAAGTCCCTGACCCTTTTAAAATCATGCCGCATTGAACTGCATGGTGCTGAGGCACCATGTAGTTTTGCAGTGTTTTGCCGATGTATGGGGGTGCCATTAAGAAATAAAGGCACCCCGTATGTCAGCTAAAGAACAGCACATTTTGCTGCGGCTCAGAACACATGAGATTTTGCGAGAGCTTTCCCGACCCACGCAAACATGAACCTAGAGAAGATATCAATCAGACAGATCCAGAAGGCTAATAAGACACATTAGACCTCCTGGAAAGAAATGCATCATGTTTGTATCTAACAAATCGTAATTTCACTCCATTAAATAATATTCTGGTTCCTAGGATTGTGACACCCAGTCATATGGAAACTATAGATGTACCCAGGATAGGTGACATTAGAGGCATGATAACATACTCCGGCACACCTTAAACACACCCATCAAACCCTTTGGCTGGATGAAGAAAAATCTGGTGAATTAACAGCTCTGAGCTTTCATTTGATACTGAAACTACCAAAGATATGGAGAAAGTAGGCAAGAGTCAGAAAGTGACTCTTGCCCACTGGATTAGACTTAGTCTGCAAGTGATCCAAACTCTACAATGAACCAAATACCTGACAGACTTTACCCAAGCATTTTTACTTTTATACACTTTTACTTTACTGCTGCTTATACCATTTTGGAATATCTTTTCTGTAAATATTCCTTGAGCCGCCTTTTTTTCTTTTAATTTAAAATCATTAAGGTGAATCTCTGCATGCTCTAACTAGAAATGAAATGCACTTTGCCTCTGTGAAGAGCTACTGTAGTAGAATTTCTGTTACATTCCTGTATGTGCGTGACAGCAAGTATTATACACATTTTTTAAGGTCAAATTGCAACAGTTGATGCTGTGGACAGATGAAATTCTGCTGATTAATTCTGCTAAAACACATGGTGGCAGCTACTGTGGCTAGCTCTTCTGCCCCCACTGAGTGCCTCCATAGCAAGCTGCTTGCTGTGGGGGCACTCATGAGAGCTTGCTCCAAAGCCACGCTCTGTGTGGCCACTGGCAAAAATTTTTTTTAAAAAAGCGCGTCTCTGCCCTAAACCCTCTTCACTGGCTGTGACTGGCAGTTGTACAGTGCTGCTATATTTGAGTCTAGGAGGAGGGAGAGAGCCGCTGCTCTCAGGCACAGGGCTGGATCGAGATTGGGCTCATGCAAGAACAAGAGGGTGGGCTGCACACAGAAGGTTTTTCACCTTATTGCAGAGAATGCATTAAAGTAAAAAGCCTTCACAACCACTTTGTCTGCTCTAGTAACCTGCTCCAGTGATGATCACTGTCAATCTACTGATGCTTAAATTGTTGTCTTGCAAGCTGAAATATTTCTGTGCAGGGTGGGACTGCGAGTGCAACTGCCACAGATGTAATAAGATCATATCCCATATTGATTATGAACCAATGATATGAACCCACAAGATTCTACTCACATGACATTCAGGACCTGAGCAATAGCTACACCGCCTGTCAGGTCCTCATAAGATGTGCAGGGACCCGACACTTGAAAAGTTTGCATCTACAAAAGAAAAAAAAAATTCACAAATGGTTATAATGCATGATCAGTGCAATTACTGTCATTGTTACCAGCAGCATGTAGGGGATGTTACTACATTTACGGAAAGCTACCATTACTAGTCACCTGAAAATGCTAGCTGGACGATGTGGCCCCGCTCTTTCATTCTCTTAGAATACCCCCATCCAAGGAGGCTGCAGGGGCAGGGACACACAGGCCTGTAAGTATTCATCATAATGCTTGCAATCAATGGTCAGTGCAGCCATGTGACTGTGCTGCCCAATGGGAAGCACAACTGAAACTGCAGCCTCCAGTCAGAAGGAACAAGCAATGCTGGAGGCAATTTACAGCACAGAATACCTTTGGTAGCATAATTATTTATGTGGAATGTAGGTTACTTGTGTTATGTGTACAGTTCCACTTTAATAGAGGTGGGAGGAGGAGGATTATTACACAGTATTTATATAGCGCTAAAAGGTTTGCTCAGCGCTGTACATTATAGTGGGGGACAGTACATGAGACAATACAGTAACAAAACAATATACGAGAGGTTCGAGGGCCCTGCTCCTTGGAGCTTACAATCTAGGAGGGAGGGGAGAGTGGTACAGGAGGAAGTGGCTGTGGGGGATGGAGTGGTGGGAGGAGATCAGCTGTTAGGTGAGGGCAGGGTAGGCTTCCCTGAAGAGATAGGTTTTCATGGTGCGCCTAAAGGTGAGGAGGGTAGGTGACAGTCTGATGGATCGGGGTAGTGAGTTCCAGAGGATGGGGGAAGTCCTGGAGAAGTCCTGCAGTCGGGCGTGGGAAGTGGAGACCAGGGAGCTAGAAAGTAGGAGGTCTTGTGAGGAGCGAATATTACGGGTAGGGTGGTATTTGGGTATCCGGTCAGTGAGGTAGTTTGGGGCAGCGTTATGAATGGCTTTGTACGTCAATGTTAGTAGTTTGAATTTAGTGCGTTGGGCAATCGGAAGCCAGTGGAGGAAATGACAGAGGGGGGTGGCAGAAGCGGAGCGGTTGGTAAGGTGGATGAGTCTGGCTGCTGAGTTCAGGATAGACTGAAGCGGGGATAGTCTGTGATGAGGTTGGCTGGTGAGGAGGGAGTTGCAGTAGTCCAGACGTGAGATAATAAGGGAGAGTGAATGAGTACTTTAGTAGTGTCTGGGGTTAGGAACGAACGTATTTTGGAGATGTTACGGAGGTGGAGCCTGCATGATTTTGCCAGGGATTGGACATGGGGTTGGAAGGACAGGTTTGAATCTAGAGTGACACCTAGGACTTTGGCTTGTGGGGTGGGACTGATGGTGGCGTTGTTGGTCGTGAAGGAGAGGGTGGGGGGGCGCACGGGCTGGGGGGAAAATCAGGAGCTCGGTTTTGGAAAGGTTCAGATTGAGGAAATGGAGTGACATCCAGTCTGATATGTCATTCAGTAGGTGGGTGATGCGGGCGGAGACTGAAGGGGTGAGTTGAGGGGTCGAGAGGTAAATTTGCGTGTCATCGGCATAGAGGTGATAGTTGAAGCCGTGGGAGTATATCAGTTTGCCAAGGGAGGAGGTGTAGATGGAGAAGAGAAGGAGCCCGAGGACAGAGCCTTGAGGGACCCCAACAGAGAGGGGGAGAGAGGGGGAGGTGGTAGCGTTTATAGGCAACGCGAAAGGAGCGTTGGGATAGATAGGAGGAGAGCCAGGAGAGATCGGAGTCTCTGATGCCAAGGGAGTGTAGTTTATTAAGAAGGAGGGGGGTGGTCGACTGTGTCGAAGGCCGCGGAGAGGTCAAGGAGTAGGAGCACTGAGTAGTGGCCATTAGCTTTGGCGGTTAGCAGGTCATTAGTGATTTTGAGTAGGGCGGTTTCGGTGGAGTGTGGGGGACGGAAGCCAGACTGTAGTGGATCGAGGAGGTTGTTGTCAGTCTGGTGGGCGCTTAGGCGATTGTAGACTAAGCGGTCAAGGAGTTTGGAAGTAAATGGCAGCAGGGAGATGGGTCTAGGGTTGTTCAGGTCGGTGGGGTCCAGGGAGGATGAGTGGAATGTCCCTTTTCAGGTGATGTGCCACTTTAAAGGTATTGTAAACCACCACAAGAAAAAAAGGAACGGCCCCTGCATGTTTAAGTCCTAACGTACTAGTATGCATCACATACTTGCACATTATGAGAGACTTACCTGGGCATGGAGCCCTCCAGTGCAGCGCTGTCATGGCTCTCACCCTGTCTTCCTTCCAGATTTGCGGACTGTGGTTGTATGAATGGCCAGGACAGCAATGACATCACTCCCACACAAGTGCGCAGGAGCCCCAGCACAGAGCTCTGAAGGTATGGCACGGGTATGCTGTCACTTCAGAGTGCATGTCCCAGTGACATCACCGGCTGTGTGAATATCTCTGAAACAGTGCATGTTTAGGAGATATTCGCTGCACCTATAGGTAAGCTTTATTATACGTTTACCTGTCTGTACAAGTTAAAAAGTGGACTTCTACTTTACATACTATATCAAGCCTTTTCTGTCACTTTCTCACTGGGGAGATTTCCCTTTACTTCCTGTCCTGGAGATGCAACAAGAAATAAGAGAAAGGCCCCTTTTACATAAGGGGGGGGGAGGGGGTGGAACTCCATTAAGATCAGCAGGGGATCTATTCGCGGGCAGATGACAGGTCCATGTCTGCTCATAGACACAGCCTGTTCTGTTCTATGGGCAGCTGGGAGTAAACAAACTCCGCTGTCTGTTTACACCCGACTGCCCTCCAGCTCCATCCACCTGGACAGAGAAAGATGGATCCCTTTATTTTATTTTTATTGTTTTTTTTTTAAACAGGAGCGGATTGGAGCTAAGCGGATGTAAACGGACAACACAAGTACATTTAACCACCTTCCGCCCGCCCTATAGTACAATGATGGGCGCAAGGTGGTTCTCTCGTTCTGATAGGACGTCATATGACGTCCTACCATTCTCACTGCGCATGCGCAGCTCAGGGAGCGCGGAGATCGCCGGTCCGCTGTGTCCCTCGGACACAGCGGATCACGGAAACAGCCGAAGATGTCGGCTCGGTCATGTGATCAGCTGTGTCCAATCACAGCTGCTCACATGTAAACACGGAAATGCCGGTTATCGCCATTTCTCTCCTCTCGAGCTGTCACGCTGACAGGGGACATCTACACTGATCATCAGGGCACTGATGATCAGTGTGGCCCCAGAAGTGCCACCTGTCAGTGCTCATCAGTGCCACATCAATGCCACATACCAGTGCATATCAATGCCACATATCAGTGCCCATCTGAGCTGCCTTTCAATGTCACCCATCAGTGCCACCTATCAATGCCAATCAGTGCCACCTATCAGTGCTGCCAATCAGTGCCGCCTAATAGTGCCAGTCAGTGCCGCGTATCAGTGCTGTCTTTCAGTGCCCATCAGTGATGCCTGTCAATGCCCATCAGTGCAACCTACAGGTACCTCCTCATTAGTGCCCATCAGTGCCACCTATCAATGTCCATCAGTGCAGCCTATCAGTGCCCATTACTGCAGCCTCATTAGCGCACATCAGTGAAGGAGAAAAATCACTTATTTACAAAATTGTATAACAAAAACTAAGAAAAAAAATTTTTTTTTCAAAATTTTCAGTGGTTTTTGGTTTGTTTAAGAAAAACTAAAAATCCCAGAGGTGATTAAATATCACCAAAAGAAAGCTCTATCTCAAAAAAAATGATAAAACTTTCATATGGGTAGTGTTGCATGACCGCGCAATTGTCATTCAAAGTGTGACAGCGCTGAAAGCTGGAAATTGCCCTGGGCAGGAAGGGGATATAAGTGCCCTGTAGGCAAGGGGTTAAACACGCCAGTCCATAGGGGTGAGGTAGGGGCTGATCAGGTCCATCTGAAAAACTGACAGGAAGTTAAAAGGAGATGGCTGCACTCTGCAACAGGATGCCGTGCAATGCTTCTTTATTCCAAAATGGACACAGGCAGATACACGGCACAGGATTGGGAACGTTGGAATAAAGAAGCATTACACGGCATCCTGTTGCAGAGTGCGGCCATCTCCTTTTATTCATTGCGGTGATGAGCCGGGTCAGCACCTGTCAGAAGGATCGGAATCGGCCGTACTCTCGTGGAGTGGTGTTACTCCAATGGCTGAAAAACTGACAGGCGGACCGGATTGGACGCTTCGCGTGAAAGGGGACAAAATCTCTCCAAAGTGAACAGAAATTTCCCTGTAAGGTCCCCTGCACATTAGGCGTTGAGCCTGTGTGCGCCCAATCCCAGTGTTTCAGTGCTCCCAATCCCAGTGTTTCAGTGCTCCCAATCCCAGTGTTTCAGTGCCCCCAATCCCAGTGTTTCAGTGCTCCCTCCCTGCAGCCTAAACTATGCTGTGGACGGACTGCGCGGTACTTGTATTTAGGGACAATCGGAAGATCTGCGTTCTGGACGCATGCGCCTGAATGCATAGGATGCCAAATGTACCAGGTCAGACGCACCACCTACCTGGGACTCACAGGAGCGATGGCTTTGGACGCACATGGGCTCTCATTTAATACCTAGGCACCTTGAAGATTTATTGTGGCGAATGTTTGGTGAATGTCAGATTCACCTTTAAAGTTCATACTTAAAGCGAAGTTCCACTCACCCTGTCAAAAAATAAAAAAGTCAGAAGCTACAAGAACTGTAGCTGCTGACTTTTAAAAAACAGCCACTTACCTGTCCCTCGGTCCCGCGGTGTGTCCCCCGCAGTCCATTTCACCGGCCGTCCTGTATTCCAGGAGGCCGGCATCTTCAGTGTGTGACAGCTTGCGGCTTCACAGCCGGGTACCCACTGCACATGTGCGAGTAGCGCTGTACTTCATGAATGGTCCTGTAGTCTCCTGGGACCTGTCACGTGTCACAAAAAACTACAGGGAGGGAGGACACCTTCCATTTCCGATTGCCTAGGCGATCGGACCAGAAGTGGGTACCTGTGAAATTCGGGTACCCGCTCCCCAAAGGTGCCAATCCTTAATGGGGAGCGGGGGACCAGTCCTTGAAGCGGAACTTCCCCTTTTGGGTGGAGCTCTGCTTTAAGTGAAGTCTCCTGGTCTGTGCAGGGTGACATATGGTGCAGTGCCGGTATGGGCGGAGCAGGTGTGGTATGGAGCACCCCTCACAGGAGTAATAGAGAGTCCTGGGGGGGAGGGTAATAAACAGTTATTTGGGGTATCAGGTATGAGGAAAGAAGTCACATTGCCCCCTCCCCGCACCCACTCCCACCATGTACCCATGTCAGCAGGGGGTCACTCTGCTCCTCTCTCCTCCTGCCGCTCATTTCCGCTCTCTGGCCGCCTGTTCACCTTTCGCGTACACCGGGGGGATCACTCTAGGCCACGCCAAGCCAAATTCAAACCACTTCTGTCCTCCGCCGGCCACCGTACCAGCCACGGCTGCAGTCCACTGAGCGTCACCTGCTTACTCCCGCCCTCTTCCGCTTATTCTCCAATCAGCATACGGCTTTTAGTGTGGCCATTGGCAACACTTCCTGAAAAGGGGCCTTCGCCCTCACTGTAAGGGCTGTTCTGATCGATGCCTGATTATGGGTATGCCGTGAAGATGTGTATTCCCCTGAAGACACTGCGCATGTTCCGGTTTCAGGCACCATCAGTCGAATATAGAACTACTGCACCCGAATCTGTACCTGAGGTAACTTAACCCTTTACATGCCGAGTGGTCGGCGGGGGCTGTTACATGCCAAATTCTCTGCAGCGACATCGGGTAGTGTCAGTGACATGGGGGGGGGGGGGGAGTCTGCAGTGACATCGGACAGTGTTAGTGATATGGGGGGGGACAGTGTCAGTGATTTGGGGGGGCAGTGTCAGTAACATGGGGGGGACAGTGTCAATGACTTAGGGGGGGTGGCAGTTACATGGGGGGGCAGTGTTAGTAACATAGGGGGGACAGTGTCAATGACTTAGGGGGGGGGCAGTGTTATTGACTGGGGGGGAGCAGTGACATGGGGGGGGGAACAGTGACATGGGCAGGGCAGTGGCAGTGACATTGGGGGAGAGGCGCAGTGATGTGACATGGGGGGGCAGTGACTGGGGGGGAGCAGTGTCAGTGGCATGGGGGGGGGGACAGTGTCAGTGACATATATGGGGGCAGTGACATATGAGGGGGCAGTGTGAGTGACATGGGGGGGGGACAGTGTGAGTGACATGGGGAGGGAGCAGTGTCAGTGACATGGGGGGTGGGCAGTGAAGTGACATGTGGTGGGGGGGGGGGTGACATTGGGGTGGCAGTGGCATGCAGAGGACATTGTCAGTGACATGGGGGGGGACGTTGTCAGTGACATGGGGGGGGACATTGTCAGTGACATGGGGGGGACATTGTCAGTGATATGGAGGTTGCAGTGTCAGTGTAGTGACTTGGGGGGGACAGTGTCAGTGACATGGGGAGGACAGTGATAGCGACGTCGGGGAGAACAGTCCTCCCTGATGTCACTGACACGGTCCCCCCTCATGTCACTGCCATTGTCCTCTCCATATCACTGCCACTGTTCCCTCCCCCCTCATGTCACTGCCACTGCTCCCCCATGTGCCTGACAATGTCACCCCATGTCACTGCCACTGCCTTCCCCATGTCACTGCTCCCGCATGTGCCTGACACTGCCCTCTCCCCATGTCACTGCCCTCTCCCCATGTCACTGTCTTCTCCATGTCACTACCCTTCCCCCTCCCCCCCCAAACCGGCACATACGCAGTTGCTTCAGGGGATACATATCTTAACAGGATACCTATTTTACCGCTACACCGGCCCCATTGCCAGTACCATGTGACCTGCTGTGACCAATCACAGCAGATCACATGACAGTTGTATACAATGGATGGCTTCCTTTCATGCCGTCCATTGAGTGACACAAGTGTGTAGCTGTGAATGGTCCCAGCAATCACATGCACAAGCTGGGCAAATCACAGCTCAGCTGTGTCACGTGATTAGCTGTGGCCAAATCACAGCTAATCACAAAAAAAACCCTGAATGAATCGATGTCATTCAGGTAAATGCTTGCTTATAGCAAAGTAATTCTTTGCTATAAGCAAATTGTGTAAAAAAAAAAAAAAAAAAAAAAAAAAAAAAAAAAAAATACTGATCACTTCCCCAAAGTAGTACAATGTTACTATGGTAACATTATACTACTTTGGCCATACTGCAATATGAGAAAACAAATGTAATAAAAAAATAAAAAAAATTATCAATTTTTTTTTTTTTGTACTGTCACCAGTCAGTGTCCCTGATCACCGCCATGCCAGTTATATGATGACACTGTACTGCACTGGTGACCAGTATGTAAAAAAAAAAATGGTAAAAATCATTGTTTTAATTTTCCGAAAAATGATGACAAAAAAATTACAATTTCAAAAAACTCGCCATGCATGTTAAGAAATACGTCGGACTGTCTACTTTGCAAAAAGGGGTCATTTGGGGGATATCTGTACTGTCCTGACATTTGGGGGATATCTGTAGTGTCCTGACATTTGGGGGATATCTGTACCGTCCTGACATTTGGGGGATATCTGTACTGTCCTGACATTTGGGGGATATTTGTACTGTCCTGACATTTGGGGGATATTTGTACTGTCCTGACATTTGGGGGATATTTGTACTGTCCTGACATTTGGGGGATATCTGTACTGTTCTGACATTTGGGGGATATCTGTACCGTCCTGTCATTTGGGGGATATCTGTACCGTCCTGTCATTTGGGGGATATCTGTCCTGTTCTGACATTCTTGGACCTCAAGAAATTAGATTGGCTGTCAGTACTTCAGGATTGATCAATATTCAGATCTATACCATAGTTTGTGAACTCTATAACTTTCCTACAAACTAAATAATACATCCTAATTTGGGTTATTTTTACCAAAGACATGTAGCAGAATACATCTCGGCCTAAATTTATGAAGAACAATTATTTATTTGCAAACTTTTATAACAGAAACAAAGAAAAACATGTTTTTGTTTTCAAAATTTTCATTCTTTTTTTTGTTAATTTAGCAAAAAATAAAAACCCCAGTGGTGAATAAATACCATCAAAAGAAAGCTCTAGTTGTGTGAACAAAACGATAAAATTTTAGTTTGGGTACAATGTTGCATGACCGCGCAATTGTCATTCAAAGTGTGAAAGCGCTGAAACCTGAAAAATGGCCTGGGCAGGAAGGGGGGAAAAGTGCCCGGTATGGAAGAGGTTAAAAGTATGTGACGTGTCAGACACACGCCTAGAGAGCACAGTGCATTCCCAACACATTGCTTATGAGTAGCCAGAGGCTGCAGACATCCCTTAGGGTCATAGAAGCAAAAGTGTCAAAGTTCTGAGAACAATGTGAATTAGAGGATGCTGTGTCCACAAAGAGGAGATTTCTCTTCACTTCCTGCTTTGTCTGTCACTACTCAGGTAGGAAGTAGAGAGATTTCACTTTGCTTCCTGTATATTCTGAGACCAAGCGGGGAGATTTCTTCTTGCTTCCAGTTTTGTCTGTCACCCATCAGGTCACTCGGGTAGGAAGTGGAGAGATTTCACTTTGCTTCCTGTATAGTCTGAAACCAAGCGGGGAGATTTCGCTTCACTTCCTGCTTTGTCTGTCACCCATCAGGTTACTCAGGTAGGAAGTAGAGAGATTTCACCAGTTTTGTCTCTCACCCACTTAAGCGGTGTTTTGGCCCCCACCACCTAGGGTTGCCACCTTTAAAACTGAACACATATTATGTACACAGGCTCTGATACTAATGTAATGCAGAGAAGGCACTAAGTGAGTTTAATGATCAGCCACAGAACCTGTAGAAATAATATATGTTCGGTTTTAAAGGGATGAGGTGGCAACCCTACCACCACCTCCCAAAAAAATAAAAGTCAGCCGCTACAAATGCGTCCCCCGCACAGGCATTGGGGTCTCGTACTAACGATCGTGACCTGGGACTCCCAGTTCCCAGTCACCTGATTGCTGTGATAGATTCTGATTGGCTATCACAACGATCAGTCACTGTATAGCCCACCTATTTGTTTTCTTGCTCTTCTGAATGGAGAGAAAAGATACACTGGGGTTGATTTACTAAAATAGACTGTGCACTTTTGCAAGTGCAGTGGCTTAGGGCTCATGTACACGGGGAGTTTGGAAAACTCTACTGAACGATGGAAACTGCTGGAAAACGTAGGTTAATAAAAACGTCAGTTTAGCCACGTTTACATATCATGTTTACGCACATTTGCGTTTAGAAGCGTTTTTAAAAGATCATAAATGTGTGTGTGTGTATGTGTGTGTGTATGTGTGTATGTGTATATATATATATATATATATATATACCGTATTTGCCGGCGTATAAGACGACTTTTTACCCCTTAAAAATCTTCTCAAAAGTCGGGGGTCGTCTTATACGCCGGTATAACATGACATGAAGGGACACTAAGTACAGGGGTGGGCAGGGGCTATTTCTTACCTGGTTCTGGTCCCACGACGATCCGGTCCAGGAAGCGCGGCTGCGCCTTCAGTTTGGCCACTGGAGTTCGCGCGGGCTGCTCGGCTCCGCCTCCTCACCAGCGATTGGCCGCCAGAACTGTAGCTCAGGAAAGGCACACAGGCGGCCAATCACCGGCGAGAGGGTGGAGCCGAGCGGCCCGCGCGAAAAATCGAGTGCAGGACCAGCAGGTAAGTGGTCAGTGTAGAGGTGCTGCTGCAACCACATATGCTGGCTGCAGCAGCACCATACGAGAACAGAGTCAGCAAGTGTCAGTGGGAGGAATAGTGCCCCATCATTGGTGTCACTGATACCAATGATGGGGCACTATTCCTCCCACTGATACCAATGATGGGGCACTATTCCTCCCGCTGATACCTATGATGGGGCACTATTCCTCCCACTGACACCAACGATGGGGCACTATTCCTCCCCCCCACTGACACCAACGATGGGGCACTATTCCCCCCCCCCCCCCCCCCCCACTGACACCAACGATGGGGCACTATTCCACCCCCCACTGACACCAATGATGGGGCACTATTCCACCCCCACTGACACCAATGATGGGGCACTATTCCACCCCCCACTGACACCAACGATGGGGCACTATTCCACCCCCCACTGACACCAATGATGGGACACCATTCCTCCCATTGACACCAATGTTGGGACACTATTCCTCCTACTGACACCAATGATGGGGCACCATTCCCCCCACTGATACCAATGATGGGACACTATTCCCCCCACTGATACCAATGATGGGGCACTATTCCCCCCACTGATACCGATGATGGGGCACTATTCCTCCCACTGGTGTGCA